CTCCTCTTCACACGATCTCCTCCGTGTCACCCTTGGACGTCTTACTCGCTGCTTCCCTTTCGGGTTCCACTCGAGCACTGGCCTGACGCGCGATGTCACCCAACGGCCTCCTCAGCGAGTGTCCAATCCATCTCCACTTTCTCCTGCATATTTGTTGAGCGATTGGTTCTAGTTTTGTTTGTTTCCATAGTTTCTTGTTGGTGATTCTTTGCAGCCATTTGATCTTCAGTATAGAACGAAGACAGTTGTTGATAAAGGTCTGCAACAGGCTGTTGGAAATATTCTTTGTGACCCGCCGCCAAGTTTCTGATCCATCCGTATAGAAGAACTGATTGACTTGACGTTTGTATTGGAAATCCGAATTTTGTTGTTGATGCTGAGTGACGAAGATTTCCAGATTGGTTTCATGTTGATGAATGTGTTTCTCGCCTTCCCGATTCTCGATTTGACATCATCGTCCGTTCCTCCTGTAGTTGAGACAATGCTCCCTAGATGAGTGAATGAAGTAAGCTCTTTCAAATCCCTCCCGTTGATTGAATTAGAATCTTTTTATTTCTCACTCACTCCATCAGTCCCAAGTAGAAGATGGAACCTAAGGCATTTGAAGTTTCGGTAGGTGTGTTGTTCTTCCACGGGGTGGTGGTAGGATTGCTAGTGTTACTTCCAACCCTCGTGTTTTCCGACTTTACTGGCGAGCAGTCAACAAAGTGTTTTGTAGTGTATTCCTCGGGAATCGAACCCTTAGGCCTCGCGCAACTGTCGTGTTAATACGTTGAGGTGGTCGAGTGACCTGACTACCTTGTTTAACCGCTTGACTTTCAACTAGTGAATCTCGGGCTGGAATACAGTCGTACTCATTATTTTGACCTGAGCAAGTGAGTAGTATATGACAAGCAGCGTTCACACACACACACGAGGTGTGGAGCTGATAATCGAATGAGTAAGAAAGATCTGCTACTGCGGGAAATCAGAGTTTCACTAATTCATTAGGCTATATGGTGCTGACATTGTCATCTCCAGGTGTGTGTGTGTGTTGGTGACGGTATGATTTGTACTTGAACAAGTCTGTAGTTTGCTATTCTTCCGACATTCTAGCTGCGATTGCGTACATTGAAGAGTTGGTCCAGTTAAAAGGCGTTTAGTTGGACCTGGTTAGTGGGGTCGCATGCTGGTGCGCTTGTTAACGGTTTCGCCGACTATCATGAGTAGTAGTGTTCGACTTGATGCAGTGTTTGTGTACAGGCTTTCAGTTGTGCCTGTGTAAGCGGGTGGGTTGGTGGGTGGTGATAATGATGGAGATGAGTGGGCGTGTCTTGTTTCCAATTTTGTAGTCATGCTTCCTGATGCTTTCGACGGGTTGTCGTCAGGAGCAGAGAAAATCTTAACTTCGAGCAGTTTTGACAGATCGAGACAAAGGTTTTTGTGTAAAGCTGCTTGCATGGTGAAACACTGAAGTAAGGAATTGGGTTGTGTAATGTTTTTTTCGGATGTGAAGTTATGTTTAGGAGGGTATTAGAGGTGAAATTCTGGTTTGATTGATTTCCAGGCAGACTACAGCGGAATTCAGAGTTTCCAAGATAATAAGATACCATTGTAGTTGTTACCGTAAACGATGCCAACTGACAGTCCACAATGGTCCTATAACAGAAATTGTGTGCGGTCCTCTGGGAATCATCCTTGGCGTTACTGTGAAAGTATGTGATTTGAAAAAACAACAACACCAACATAACAAATAGCGCTGATTCAGACTAGAGGGAATTAGTGGTGTAGTGGGCGCTTGCATCCCAGTTATAACAGTTATAAGCAAAAAAAGGTTAATGGAATTGTGAAATGTTGGTTTTCAGGGAATTGATTGATTGATTCATTGCTAATTGAAGTCAGTTGGTGATGAATACTGAGCATGAGTGGAGGATGAAGTTGCCTGTGGTTCTATTTGGTTAGAGTCATGAGCTCAGGAAGATGCACGAAGTAGTTGGGTGTGAGGACTGACTGAATGATAATCGTTGTTGACATTACCTGGTGATGGCGGAGTATCGTGAATTGACAAAAGTCGTCAAAGAGTCCATAAGTTATTGAATTCCTTCCCTTCCTTGGACTGAATAGTATACTTACTGTCCTTGTTAACTTGTAGGTCGTCGCGTGGCTTTGTGATATATTGTTATATTTTATGTGATGAGTGTCTACTACTCAGAGGGAGAGAGAAGAAGTCCCAGACAATAATGAATCAGCTCTGTCAAGTCCTCCGCGTTGGTTTTCACTGGCTGTCGTCTAATCGAAGTCAGCCAATTTGTGATCGATTGAATTGCTTTGAATTTGAAATGTTGTTGTGAGTGGTTAACACCTTCTTTGTTGCATATATTTGTCTTATGCATTTATCTGTGATTTTCCATAGTTATTTATTGATTTTTTTAAAATTATTGATTTGTGTTTCAGGAATATCAAGGAGTATTGGATTTACTAATCAAAGATAATAAGAAAATGCAGGCAACAGTGGAAGAAGTACAGGCACAGTTAGTTGAACATCATCCACAGGTAGTGAGAAGGAAGTTGTTACTGAATAACAGGAAGAAGGTAAATCACACACATACACACATGTTTGTATAATACTCTTCCCCAGCGTGTGTTGTCAGCTTTTCTGTTATGCTCCATCGATTAGAGTTTAGTTCAACGATGCTAATGATAATGATAATAATAAGACGGGGAAAAAGAACAGTAGTAACTGTCTTTTACAGTTACTTATTGCTTTAATTGAGTTCCCAGAGGGACTAAAACTAGTAGTGGCATACCGTCCCTCACTAGCAACATAGGAGAGGCTGCAGAATCAGATGAAACAAAAGCTGAGGAGCTCTCCAAATATTTCTCTGATGTTTTTTCGCCTAATCGTACCACCCAGGGGTGTAGCGAGGTAACTGGTGTAGCCCCTAAAATGCCCCCAATTGTGGTAGATGATGCAATGGTTCTGAAACTACTGTCTAAGTTGAAGCCAGGTAAATCACCTGGACCAGATGGACTCCACCCTAGATTGCTAAGCTCCTTGGCGGATATAATATACATTCCATTTACGGAGATTTTTCAGGTGTCTCTGACCCAGGCTAGGTTACCCAGAGACTGGAAAGATGCTTTTATAAGCCCCATCTTCAAAGATGGGAACAGGCAGTTAGTATCTAACTACTGGCCTGTAAGTCTGACCTGTATTATAGCAAAGGTGTTAGAAAAACTCATAAGGGACCAGCTCTTAGCCCATACGGAAAAACATGGCTTACTGGCAGTGGAACAGCATGGATTCCGACCAGGACGATCCTGCTTGACAAACTTAATGTTAGCTAGAGAAGATTGGGTCGAGGCCAGGGATAAAAACCATCTACTGGACGTTGCATTTACCGATCTTAGTAAAGCATTCGATAAGGTATCCCACTTAGGTCTTCTTAGTAAACTTGAAAATTTTGGATCAGACCAACGTTTATGCGAGTGGTTTAGTGACTACCTGGTGGATAGGAGACAGAAGGTAAGGGTTAATGGTGTACTGTCAAGGTGGAAACCAGTACTAAGTGGACTACTTCAGGGAACGGTACTTGGCCCCCTGATATTCTTATTATACGTAAATGAAGTGCCAAAAATTCTTACCTCATCTTCCTTAATATTTGCGGACGATATTAAGATATGGAAAACCGTAAAAAGTAGCGATGATAGGTTGGTACTACAAAACGATCTAGACAAATTAACCGAATGGACTAACCTTTGGAGTCTGGAAATTAATTCCAAGAAAAGCGCGGTAATGCACCTAGGTCAGAAGTCTTACACGTCGTACTCCATGGGGGACACAGAACTGCCAGATGTTAGGGAACAAAAGGACTTAGCAATTATTGTTAGCCATGACTTAAAACAACAGCAAACTGTAATCGAGCCGCAGCTAAGGATTTTCGAATGCTATGGGCACTTCGAAGATCTTTCAAACGATTAGACGAGGGTATGTTCCAAGTACTCTATGCAACATATGTCAGGCCTCATCTAGAGTACTGCATACAAGCAGCGAGTCCATGCTTCAAAAAGGAGGCACATACCCTGGAAAGAGTACAGAGGGTAGGAACCAAATTAGTTAGTGGAATCTCACACCTTCCTTATGATAAGAGGATGGAGCACTTAAAACACTTCCCATTACCATACCGAAGTAGGAGAGGCAACTTATATTCAAGGGTGATTTAGGGATTGATCTTTCAAACCTCTTCTCTCCCTCTAGGATACATTTACGGGGTCACCAGAAGAAGGTGCTCAAACCAAGGTCGAATAAAATACGCTTGGAGTTTAGATTCTCTCACACAGTGGTCAACGACTGGAACTCTTTACCTGATTCATCAATAACAGCTCCATCGGTGAACGCTTTCAAAGAGAAACTGGATCTCTGCAGGGATATATATCGCGAGGATTAACATAGGCAACAAGAGCCTTCTATCCTTATAATCTGAATCTGAATCTGATAACAAAAAAAAGGGAGAGTATAGTGATAAGTAGATTTATAGGAATTTATCATATGATAATCTATATTGGAACTGAAAGTTAACAAGTATGTTAATATTAAAAGTCAAAATTGCAGCATTATTAGCCTTTCAGAGGCTGCAGGTATCGACGTTCGCGAGTTGTACGGATTATACTAACGCAAGATCTTATACCAACAACTTCTATAGTGTTCGCACTTCAAGTACCAAAGATAAAGCGAAAGACCAGATTTTGTCGTCCAAAGTGCGTAGTATATTTCGGGACAAAATCGCGGGTAGAGGTGAATGCTTAGCTAGCTAGTAATCGTGCACGCACGTGACACGACGAAGTACCAAATGGCGGGGATGCTTGACCGGAAGCCTTCAGCTAAACAAGTCGACTTAAACAGTGATGGTCAGCATCCAATGTTGAGTGGTGATTGCTGTGGTCAATAATTTTGGGGAATTATTTACCGCTACAGCCTTAACCACATATGGTAAGATGTTGCATGTATTCGACATTGAAAAGTACAAGCCAGTCCAGCCACGTATTTTGTCCTCAAGGTCAACGTCTGTGAATTATAATTTTTCACAACGTTCGGTGACGGTGAGCAGTACTTTACTTCTTTCCGTTTAATCGTAAGCAATCTGATGATTGGTAATTTTTTACTTCAATATGCAGTCGATGTATTCGTATATAGACGTTTATACAATGTTTGTAATGAGTCACAATTGTGCCTAATCATTTTTAAAGATTCTTAGTTTTATAGAAGAGTGTCTTTCGAACGTGATTATGCGCTATTTACTCGAAGATCAACGCTTCACTTATAATCGATATCTGTCTTGTGCTATGTTCACATGCAGCAGTCAGTCTTTATTCATAATTTGCTAGATTCCATCGTTTGTACTTACCCTTCATACTGTTTCCATTATGTGCATCATGTATACATAATGTATACATACTTTTCACACGCTAGTATGCTAGCTTATAGACAAGTTTCATCAGCAGTTGCTCACTAATAACTCTTAATTAAGAGTCATGATTGGGAGAAATATTTCCTAATGCACCCAGCTAGCATTTCTTTGGGCTCATAGCGGAATTTTCGAAGCAAAAATCTTTAAATCTACAGATTCAAAATAATAAACCATTGTTATATAACACTGCTAGGAATAAAGCTATTGCACAAATTCGCCAATCAAGGATGAAATTCGAAGCACATCTGGCTCAAAATGCAAAGGCACAACCTAAGAAAATTTGAAAAATCTGAAATCTGACGACTTAAGGCAGTCGTAATGATAAATACTGGTTTTGATTACAGCAATAGAAATAATACGCATGTTGTGTATGTCAAACCACGGCATTCCTCGTTAAGCGGTGTTAGCTGATACATGATTAAGATGGAAATGGGTTCGAGGTGGTCAAACCGAAACCTAGTATCATTCCGTGTGTGCCTAGACTATTGGTTCAAGCCACATAGATTAATGTAGACTATCTGGTTGGAATTGTCGAGAAGCTAAGAACTAATGATTTGAGATTTTTTGGTGGTACGGCTCACAATCATTTTCAGTGGTGCAGATACACACTTATTGTGATCTCCAAAATCCATTAATTCTTCACTCTTCTTCATATTGTTATTTTTTCTAAAATACGTTTCCGTTCATCGTAGTTGCATTAAATTTCCTCTCTACCTTAGTGTGCCCAATGGAGTTTGTTAGCTCGAATTGCTTCACTTCCATACAAAGTTCTGCATTGACACTCAAGCAAATCCATAATTTGCAGATTACCCTTTTTATGGCGAAATATCACTGTAGCTCTCTTTGAAAGCTGAAATTATCCCTGTCAAAATTGTAATACGTTTGATACCATAAGTGGCAATGGAAACAACCAATGATGTATGATGGTCGATATCTTCTAAACTTTGAGTTTTATTGACCATATTTCTCTAACTCATTTATTGCTAAACGTTTCAATATATCCATTCTTAGACACAATACCCTTAAGTGTCTTTATTTCACATTCAGCTGTACTATCAGAACAGATTTACCGTAATAATTTAATAGTGTTCTGAGTAGGTTTCTCATATTAGTAGTATTTTCTCATAGTATATATATAGTACTGTGTAGATTATTCATCTGATGAATTCATTAAATCTTGCTCTGTTAGAATTTTGTTTATTTTAGAGTCATGTTTTTCGGTTGCTGCGAGTTGTTTCCAATTAGTATGTGGTGCACTGAAGTCACCGAAAGTGAAGCATCTAGTCCTAGTGTCTCATACATACTGGTGGTTTAATACAAAAGCATGCGATTGACAGTTAGGATTTTGGTCATTTTAGTGTCTATATTTTGGGTTGTTTTCATGAATTGTGACTTATAAGTACCAACGGTATGCGTATATGATACCATTGACCTATCTTTTATGCCTTCCCAAATGTTTCACCTCATTCACAACTGGTGACTTTATCTGTTCATACACAGGGGCAGCCAGGTATGAATGGATGGTTACTAATTCTGACTGAATTCTTTTGGATGATTCTCACAGTTTAGAAAATTTATTCGTAATACTGTAACAACAGAAGACAAGGGCCAGGCAACAGATCGTTTATTAAGGAAAATCAACACATATTTATAGATTTTAATGTACATTATTGTAGATTATTGTTAGTATAAAACACAGCCTTTTGATTGGTTGTTTCTCACAGAAAGTTAACCTTGCATCTCTTTGTGGCTGTGTCAGATCATCTATATGCTAACTGTATCCGCCTACGCAAAGCCTTTGTCCTCATTTTCTCACCACTAACTAATATTGGGGACATAAACATTGACGTCAATTACTGTCTACCAATTTTGGCTAGCAGCCAGCTCTCACCACAATACTGCTGTCGTTATTTCAACAACAACAATAACAGCGACAATAGTAACAATCCAGTAGAGAAATCCATTGACTCAAAGGCCGCTAGTTCTTATTTCGGTGAAAGCATAACAAAATAATGCCAAGAACGTATTTATCAGTTTCATTTCCGATATATCTACTCTTTTCAAGAAGTTATAATACGATAATGCAAAGCAGTATGCAGATTTAATACTTTTCGGTTTCTCTTTCACATGACGTAAGTCTAAAGCCGGAAGGAAAGTTCCTCAGTACTGTGTCTACCATTCTCAAGGTACTGAAGCATGTGTACTTGCTAACCTAGGCAGCATTCTGACAAATTGGTGGAAGGATCTTTTAGTGTAGTGTACGTATTCTCAAAAGAAGTGCGAAACAAGTTCATTATCCCAATGTATGATATCCGCTATAACTGACTTTGATATCAGAGCCTAAATATCACGATTTGAAATCATTTCTTTTTTGATTCAACGTCATATATTTTTTCTTCTGTCTATTTTCTCTAGTAGTTTTCTGTTGTACACTAATTGTTATTTTCACCCCTTTGCACTAGTGTTTGAAACGTTTTTCTAGTGATCTGTACAAAGCAACTGCAACTTCCGTTCTTTATGCAAGTAGTGGAGTTAAAAGCTAAGAATACCATAGATTTACTGCTACAAAGGTAATGGTTATGTAATCAATAACAGACAAGAAGGTTAGTGGTAATCAAAAGAGACATATTTCAGGAAAAATATTTACACGGGAAACCTTTATGTCAGAGAGATACTCGACAACAGTATCTCATAAGTATAGATAGTAGAATTAACGTAAAGGGTTACCATGTCCGATACGAACTATTTGAACACTGAATTAAATTTATTGACACTATAATAAGGGTTTTCTTGTATTTCCCAATGAATGAAAAACAAAACGATATTGTTGTTTTTGCTGACATTTCGCTATTTAATGCTAATAGCTTTATCAGAGTGTTATTAAACCAGAATTGACAAACTCTCAGCTTATATATTACAACCTAGTCATCGTTCCTCTGCATGGGGGCATTTTTGGTTGACAAATTGGCTAATTGGTTAAGACAAAAAAACCGGGTAGGTGTAGATTGTTGGATTTAATAAGTGTATGAAATTATACAAAAGCAGCGTGTGTTTACATAACGAAATTGCTTATCACATTCGTGTTTATTTTTTCATTTCATGGGGGAGGGAGGTGTTGTAACCAGGTCAAATTCCGTCTCAGTTCATTATTCCTAATCAGACAATTTGGATTCTACTTGATATGAAGTCCTTCTGATGATATTAGACGTTCTTTGTGATTTCTGACGTTATGCCTTTATTTTTAAAGGTTCTCACTTCTATCGATAGGACTCTGCCGATTTGTAGACCTTGTTATTGGCTTTAAGTTTGTATAGGTGGCACTGAAAAAAAATGATCCTTATAAGTTGACACTGAAACTTATATACCTAAACTATCCATGTTCAGAGAGCATTAGAATACTATTACAATATCTGCTGTTATTTCTGTCATTCACCTGAATTTCTTAATATGATTATTTTTTATTCCTTTACGTTCCCAGAGGAACATAAAGCTTCAGGCTAGAGGCTTGAATTTTCTGTAGCAGTGGTGTTTATTTTTATGGTATGGTATTGCTGGCCTCATGCTCAAACTTTCCTCTTTACCAGTGTAATCACTGGCTTAGCGAGGTAAAGGGATGCGCCGGTGGCCGGGCCATCGAACCCCAAACCACGTGAGTGTGGTTGGCGAGCATTCTGCCGCTGTGCCACCGACGCACACAATTCGATGAAATAATCATTCTATTTGTGATTGTTGATTTAGTCACTGCAACTTGCAGGTCTAACTGCGATGTAAAAGCAATAGTTATTCATCAAGGTTATCAAATTTTATGCTAACTGACTGACTGAGTTTCAACGTAGAACTTTGCATAGAAGTATAGCTGTTCAAGTTGTCACAATATGTTGCACACAAAGTCAGATAATAGAAAGAAAAGAAATTCAAAAGAACCACAATAAATAGGAATATGAGGGGAAAAGAATAGTTACGTGGAAAAAACATGATGGTTTTCTAACCGCCGTGCCATCGACGCATTGACATGCATCCATCGCATACCTTAATCTGTTGATGTGTTTTCAACCAAACCCGTCCTTGATATCCATTTTCCTGCCTGCTCTGTGTATGCGTTTTTATTAAAATCGTCCTTCCAAAATCTGAATGTTTTTCAGTAATTTTATTACAATTCAACTAAGTTCATCGCATGCTCAATAAGCGTCATTGAGCAACACTGTTTATCACTTCATAGCAGTAGAAGAAATAGTTTATGAGTGTGTAAAATCATGTGAGGCTTTGATTTTACCTTATCGCAGATATTTTATGCTAAATAGAATTCATATAATTTCCCTACATCATCAGGCTTTTTGGCTACGATTAGTAAACTAGAGCTGTCTGTAGGAAGTGTGAGAAGCTTTAGCTCGCTGGTCAGTTACCAACCTTTGGGTCACCAGTTCAGGACCCGCTCCACTTACTACGGTTTGGACAGCTATGTAGTATCTTTAGCCCTCACATAATAGGTACGATCCACTTCCAAGTGCACGGAAATGCGGTCATTCGTTAAGTAAAATGTACACAAATGTAACAAGAGGTAAGAAAAGCAACTGTTCAGAGGTGAATTCTCCGTGAAGTTAGACAGTTCTGCTCATTCAATCTTAATTGGGAGTGTAGAACTGCTGTAGCCTACACAGCAGTAAACAAATAATCCCTATCTTCTAAAGTGTTGGAATTTGTCAAGTTTGTACTGATGTTACTAAGCACATAATGTTTGATGCTTTTTAGAAGACATCATATCTTCACCAAGTTAACTGCAGAACACCCAAATAAAAGTGCAAATATAGACTGGCGACGTGGTCTTCTTAGGTAGATGTGATGAGAAACTTAAATCCTCACAAAGTGTTGATTATCTTATAATTTGTGAACAGATATCGTAGTGTAGTCTGTCAGGCGGATCTCACTCCATATTATTAACACAGAACAAAATATTCCGCTGTTTTCTTTAAATCTGTCTAGCGACACTCTTCTCTGCGGAAGACATGAAAAGGTTGACTGTTTTTGACCACAGATGTTTACGATCTCTTTCTCGCGTTAGGTGGTATAATAAGGTAAGTAATGTTGACGTTAGGCGTAGAGTGTTGGGCAAAGAGGGAAAATCAATCGAAGAGGCTATAAAGTTACATAGATTGAGATGGCTAGGTCACGTGCTGCGCATGCCTAGCCATCGCCTCCCCCGACGGACGGGCATTACTAGCTAATATAGGTGCAGGTTGGAAAAGAATAAGCGGTGGCCAAACAAAAACATGGCCTCATCAATCCATGAAATCCTTGACAGTTAAACTGAGTCAGGTAGGGAGGGAGATGCAGACTTCCGGGTTGGGGCCCTCGGGACTCTAAGAATCAATGGCTGGAGACAATAGGTGACATGGCTCAAAATCGCTGTCGATGGCTTACGCAGATGTATTCAGTCTCTGTAATCTTTCATATTCCTTTCTACCATTACTCATTCTGTTTCACTCTTATACTTGTCAAAACTCTATTTATTCTCTTCACTCATCTTGTTGTCTACCTTTGTGTGCTATTTGGAACGTGGCAACTGGAACTGCTGCACTTCGGTGGCAAGTTCTATGTTGAATCCTGCCAGCCAGCCAGTACTCTATATTACTTCTCTTATTGGAGGTCTCTCTGTTTCAACAGAGAAAAATCATTGTTAAGAGCATTCATTGAGCTCTACAGCTTATATTGAACTAATTCCTGTTTTGTTTGAATAGTGCAAAATTTCTTAAATTTCTTTCATTCCATTTATCCAATTTTTGATAATATCAGCTTTCATTATACTTATTGCATATCTCAGGTTTACTAGTTTACAGTTTTGCATTTTTCATTTCAGATTTCCTTCGTCATTAGACCTTCGTGTACAAACACCCAAAACAAAAAAAACAAAAGAAATAATCAATAACAATGTTGATTAGAGATATGTATAATTGTACAATAGATCTCGGGAGTTATATTCAGTATTTGTGCATCGCATTGTCAACACTGTTAGTTTTATCCTCGATATTTCCTGTAAATGCTGTACAAGAGTTCACTGTTTATCGTGCTCAACAGTATGATTTCCAAGGTGTTAGTATAGGTAAGTTCTATTCTCAGATCTATTGATTTACTATTTAAAAAGACAATTGCAGCGAAGAAAATTTTCTTTTCGACGAAGTCACCGTCAACTAGGCTGTACATTCGTGTATTTATATCAAATGGATGGGAAAGTTCCAGAATAATTTCCGGTTAAGGGTCAAATTAATAAAAATTACAATTAGGAATTAGAATGCCATAATAAACAGGGGGACGGATAAAACTCGAACAAAGTAGCATTATAATAACTAAGAAGATTGACACTGTGCGATTGGGGGTTAGAAATGTAGAAATAACAAAATATACAGGATGTTTGGATAAAAAACTAATGTGATGAATAATTGTTTATGTAATCAGGGATTAAATATGTAGAAATAGTAAAATAACAAAATAAACAGGAAGAGTGGGTATGAAAATATGGTAGTGTAAACAGGGATTAAGAAAACTTAAAATAACATGAATAAACAGGAAGTTTAGATAAGAAGGCGATGAGATTGTCATTACTAAAAAATTTCACCTGTTTGTGATGGCCATGGTAGGGAGAGGGGTTGGACGTAATTCTTTTGGATACAAAGTGTGGGTTTGAGCTTTTGGATAGCTAGCGCCTCAGCTATGCCCAGATGTCTTGATTTGACTCCCTTTGATAGGTTTGATTGAATTTTGTATATTACTTTGAAGGATTTTTCGAAAGGCGCTGAATGTCCTGAGTTGACCAGATGTTCTGTCACTGAACTGTATACACGTTTTTGGTCTCCTTTTACTTTCTTACCTTTACCTTTACTTTTTACCTTTACTTTACTTCTCCTTTTCTTAATCCCTGTCTACACTACCATATTATATCAACTTCCTGTTTATTTATTTAATTTTCTAATCCCTGTCTACACTACCATATTTTCATATCCACACTTCCTGTTTATTTTGTTATTTTACTATTTCTACATATTTAATCCCTGATTGCATAAACAATTATTCACCACATTAGTTTTTTATCCAAACATCCTGTATATTTTGTTATTTCTACATTTCTAACCCCCAATTGCACAATGTCAATCTTCTTAGTTATTATAATGCTACTTTGTTCGAGTTTTATCCGTCCCCACCCCTGTTTATTATGGCATACTAATTCCTAATTGTAATTTTTATTAATTTAACCCCTAACCAGAAATTATTCTGGAACTTTCCCATCCATTTGATATAAATACACGAATGTACAGCCTAGTTGATGGTGACTTCGTCGAAAAGAAAATTTTCTTCGCTGCAATTGTCTTTTTAATAACTCCTATGACCCAATGTGTATATTCCGTGATTTACTATTTCTCTCTCTTTCTCTTTTTAGGTAGCCGACTTTCATCACTAAATTGTGAGGCTCAAACACACAGCAATCGATTAATCGGTCGAAATTGTCTTCTTTTGAAATTAGCCGATGTATCTTTAAATATTATCAAGGATGCTGTGTTTCATAAAGTCTCTGGCCTAGTCATCATTCTGCCATCCCACTCATGGTCACAAGCATTGATAAATGTAATATATTTTAAAAAAATCATTTTGTTTTAGCATTTCATCTATTTAGAAAAAGAAATACTAAGTGATGAATTTCAAATTCCTATTTACTTTACACAAAACAATTCTGCACTCCAAGAGTTTTATGAACAAATTAGCCAGCTTACAACGTCTAGTGCACAAAATTCAGGCATATCTAGTAAGTGTGGCCGGATGATATTGCCTCATCCTTTTATTTATTTATTTATTTTTTCTTGTAGCAATCACTCGAGCTCTATCTTCAACTGGTTATCGATTACTGACTGGATATCAAACACCGAAACCCATCACAGATAATTATATGATAAATATTGAGGTAAAAACAATATTTCATCAACTTTATATATAATTACATCTTATAGGGTCGACTGGGAAAAGAGAGTGCCAAGTCGGCGATCATTATCTGTGCACATTATGATGCCATTTCAGCTGTACCTGTAAGTGACACTTTTTGGTTGACAAACAAATTTAGTAAAAGGTATTGTTATTCTTGTTCTGTCAATACTCCATTGCCTAAAGAAAGAAAATTAAGTTATTTGAAGCGTAGTTTTATGGATGAAGTTACATTAGTAAATGCTAGACCAGCTCACTACTGTTTTTTTCTAATTCCTTCACATTCCCAGTGGAACATAGGGCTTCAAGGTACAGGCTTGAAGTTCCTGTAGCAGCGTTTATTTTTACAAGATGGGGTTGCTAGCCTCATGCCCAACCTTCCCTCTTTACCAGCTTTATTACTGGCTTAGCATCGGCCGGGGATCGAACCTCGGACCTTGTGCATAGTCGGTGAGCGTCCTAACCGCTGTGCCACCAACGCACTCACTACTGTTACTGTTGCTTAAAAGCCACTTATATATCAGAGCGTATCTTCAGTTGCAAATATTCCCTACTTTAGTATAGTTTATCCACTTGAGGCTTTTTTAAATTTCATTCCTTTGCGTTGTGAGGGGAACACAGGGCTTCGTGCTCTGAGCTTTAAAATTTCAATAGCAGTGATGTTATTCCTTTTTATGGGATAGCGTTGCTGGCTTCACACCCCTGACCTTCCTTCTTTACGAGGCTTACTGGCAGCTAGGTGAGGTTTAGGAATGTGTTGGCTGGGAATCGAACCCAGCCAGGACCACATGGTGCGTGGTTGGTGACCATTCTATCGCTGAATCACCAACCATGTTCAGTGTAGACAATATGAATCACGCTTAGTCGTGTTATCTTACTACATTGCACAAGTTCTAATGTTATGTTGAAGTGATACTATGCTCTGTATTCGTCATTCTCATCTTGATGATTTTGTTTGATTATTGTTCATGATACAAGAGTAGTACATGTTGACGTACGAAACAAGTATTACCAGAGTTTATTTCTAGCGTGAATCTAGTGATTGATTAAGAGAGGTCTTTATTTGCCCTCCTCATTTGTAACCTAGTCGACAGAGAACCCGTGTCATACACTGGGTCAGTTGTCTTCTCTAAATTTGATTTGATTAGTTTTGTTGAATTGGATCGAATCTTATTTCTTTTAATCTTGGAAATATTCTTTTAAATATTTTCTGACCCATGTTGTATGAACACTGACTGGTTTCAACATAGAACTTTGCACCGATGTGCAGCAGTTCAACTTGCCACACTCCCTCCATGTAGCACACAAAGCAGGAGTAGAAAGTAAAAGGAAATGCAAAATAGAGACAGAAAACAGAGATATGAGGCAAAAAGAATAGTAACACCAAAGAATAATATAGTTTTATTGGGTATTATAAGTCACAAGGAGTGGATGCATCTGCGCCAGCCATTGAGAACGATCACTTTGAGCCACATCACCTATTGTCTCCAGCCATTGCTTTTTACATTCCCGAGGACCCAAACTAGGAAGTCTACACCTTCCTACGTGGCTGGCTGGCTTAAACTAACTGTTATGGATTTCATTGACTGATGAAGTCATGTTTTGATTTGACCACCGGTGACTGTTGTCCAACCTGACCCTACGTCAGCTAAAATTACCCGTCGAGGAAAGTGATGGCTAGGCATTCGTAACACATGTCCTAACAGATGACAACTCGTCGTAAGCTCTCACCTGGCTGCATGAATTCGATTAGAGTGCCTTGATCAGTGCAATGTATTTCCTCGGTATTCCCTTCGCAGACAGTGTTGTATGAATAGATTTTGTACCTCTAATTAGTTAGTTACCAGTAGATCCGTTTTTGTTTTCTTACTTAAAATATTAACTTGATGCAATATGGGCACCAATTGGTGCTTCCTACGAGATAATGAGACGAAAATATAGAGGGGCGGGCGGAGCAAGAGTAAAATAGCTAAGAAACAGTAACATGAGCACTTTTACAAAGTACATTTGAATGAAAAAAACTAATTTCAAAAAGAGAAAATAAGGAAACGCTTGCATGTTTTTCATTGGTTGGGATTCTGATCTGTATCTGATAACGTCTCGAGTAATTGCGTCTCATTATCTCCCAAACCCTATTTAGGGAATGACATGAACCAGTAAATGTTAACTATGCTTCATTCTATGATGGTACATCATGTTCTGACCACGTACTTTCTCTTAGTAAATGGTGGGGTGACATGCATAGCACATGCCCAAGCCGCTAAAGCCATTGTCCCAAAGTGACATCGCTTTGTCCAAACAAACAACCAAATCTTAGACTTACTTAAATTGCTGTTAATGAATTCAAGGAGTGATGCTCAAACATTCTAGATAGTCGCGCATCTTCAGCACACATAAGCGATGTAAACCCAACTTTTTACGGCTAGACTTAGGTTGAAGTAACTTTTCATTGTTTTCGCCAAACAATTAAACGTCACATCTGCCAGTTCTCCCTGAACGCTCTCACGACATTTTAGGTACGAGAAATTTTCGACAACTAATATGCCACAGCTCCCTACGCTAGTTGGTCTAGGCTCGCCCGACTTCCAACCAGTGGGTCCCGGGCTTGAACCCGACACCCCCAGCCAAAGTTTCGACAGCTTCGAGTAGTATCACTAGCCGTCGCACAATACGCGTGAATCATTCCAGACTGTATGGCAATGCAAGTAGTTGTTGAGTAACCTTTTCACCTCATTGGTTGTTTACTTTTTTTTTCATAAGGGTGTTGATGATTTTAGTAATAAAACTTCACACTTAATATCCTAAACCAACATATTTTTTCTCTTGTAGAGCTTGGCCTTTGGTGCTGATGCAAATGGTAGTGGCGTTGTCATTTTATTGGAACTTGCTCGTCTGCTATCACAACTTTATTCAAATGAAGCCAATAGATCGCCGTGAGTATCAAGTATTCTTTTGTTAACATTCATTCTTACAGTGATACTCTGATTTTGCAACTGGTTCAGTAGTTCTTTATATCCTTTATGTCAATGTTACAATTTATTTTCACCCTCTCACAAACATTAGTTTGTACCACGTCACTGAATGTATTATTGAAACAAAAGTGGGAGATATTAGCAATTTGCTTTTTTTCAAAAAACACACATTTAATTCATAGAAAGTTACAGTACGTCTGTGGTCCAAAGGTAGAGTGCTCGCCAACCACACCTCACATGCCCCTGTTCGAATCCCGGCTGAAGTACTCTTTAACACATCGCTTAGCCATCGGTAAGCGCGATTAAAGAGGAAAGGTTAGGCGCGAAGCTACTTACTTCACCTTATTAAAAGAAGTAACATCACCGCTACCTCCTTTATGTCTGTGAGTGACAAATTCTCATTGAGAGTGGAAGACATGAAAATGCTAGCTAGCTATCTTTGATCATAGGCGCCTGCATTCTCCCGTGTGAAGTGGTATAAGAGGGTGAGCAATATTGAGGTTAGGCATCAGTCAAGTGCTAGGTAGGTGGGAGAAGAAATCAATCGATGAGGTTATGAAGCTACATTGACTGAGATGGTTAAGACATGTGTCACTCATGCATCCGTAGCCATCGCCTTCCTCGACTAACGGACAATGTTAGCTGACATAAGGTCATGTTAGAAAAGAGCTAGTGGTGGTCAAACCAAAAGATGACTTCATCAGTCAATGAAATCCACAACACGTAGGAAGGTGTAGACTTCCTGGTTGGGGTCCTCATGACGGTAAACACCAATGGCTGGAGACAATTGGTGATATGGCTTAAAATCGTTCTCAATGACAGCACAGATGGATCCACTCCTTGTAACTTATAATATCCAAAAAACTATATTGTTCTTCGATATTACAATTCCTTTGGTCTCATATCCCTGTTTACTGTCTCTATTTTGCATTTCTTCTACTTTCTTCTCTTGCTTTGTGTGCTACATGGAGGGAGTGTGTCAACTTGAACTGCTGCACATCGGTGCAAAGTTCTATGTTGAAAACAGACAGACCGCCACGGAAACTTCAAAGGTAAAAGTTGGAGTGCTTATGTTACACTCAAAACACAAAGGATTAAAAAGAGTTCAGTTCCGTGAAATGACAGTAAGATAAAAGAGTTTCCATTCATATGGTATATGTTTCAGAGGAGAGTTTCCCTGCTTTACTATCTAGTGAGTGGAACTTATTCCCAGAGATGTAGATGTCTAACATTGTGGTGAGAGCTGTCTGCTAGCCAAAATTGGTAGACAGCAATTTACACGTCAATGTTTACGTCGCGAATCTTGGTCTTGAGAAAAAAAATCAAGAACAAAGACTTTGCATGGGAGGATACGATGTGCAGATATATGGTCTGACCTTCAAGAAAATGGTCACAAAGAGATGACTGATTAACTTCCGGAGAGAAAACAACCAATCAGAAGACGCTGTTTCTCCGCTAATAATAACGAATAATAATGTACATAGTAATCTATAAATATCTATTGATTTCCTCAATAAACGATCTGTTGCATGTTCCTTGTCTGAGAATATCATCTCACTTGAACTGTAGGACTTCGCACGAAAATATTCATTGGTTAAAAATTCTGAATTTCCTAACGGTGCTTGATTAGTAGTGAACAAAGAATATGCTTTCTGCGATCCCTTCATCAGGTTCTACAATTAATTATATGTCAATAATTAGTGAATTATTGCTAATAACAACACTAATGTTTCAAACAATTAATCATGAATAACCCGCCCCATCCAGGCATTAATGAAAACAAAACACGTAGTTCAGCGAAGAGTCTCTTTTTGGCGAATTTATTTTCTTAACTGTACAATCTCAGATATATATAGGTTATTATGTATATATATACATATATTTGGGTTATTGCGTAACTCCTTTTTAACAACTGTTTGTGACAACTCATCACCTTTGTTACTATACTAGTTTCATTAATACCCAATTTCCTTGACCGTTTTTGTATTACTTAACTCCATCCAAAACTTACTAATTCTCACCTGTTTAGTTAAAATAACCTTACTTACTTTACTTTACTTTACTTCGGCTATCTCCTACGAGGATGAGCCGGCTTCATGAACATCTCGAATCATCGCTGCCCAGGCGCGGCGATCTGATGCAAGGTTTTGCCACCGGGTTATCCAATGCCTGTTCCACAGACGGAGTCCGTAGACGGTTTGTAGCCCCAGGCAATCATCCTTGACTGTACCAAGCCATGTTTTCAGCTGTCCATCCCTGCGACATCGCTAAGATGGTAATGGCGAGGGATTTAGAACTGATTTGACCAGATCGTCATCTGGCGGGCGCCGAACATGGCCAAACCACCGAAGGCGACGTTGTTGGACCAGTGCTGGAAGAGAGTTCATTAAGTTTCATGGGAATTTGGTACGAGTGATGTCCCCAGAATCGCTCGGCCTTTTGTTCGAGAGTGCAGCTCTAGCCTTTACACAACCAAGTTTGACCTACAAGGCAGTAGGAGTGGAGTAGGGAGTCCACTATTCATTGGCAGCCGGTGACCGGAGTTCCGTTCATACACCTTTTTGAATGGGGCCAGACATCCAGGACATCCAACAAGCCCTTTGTCCATACGTCTCCCGGTGAGCTCTAGTGAGCTTCATACGCCAGTCGTTGGAGGTTTGAAATCAGGGTTTAGTCATTTCCCCTAGACTGTCATCCAATGGACAGTCAACCCGGTGAAGAGCGCCGGACATCCGCTTTCGCCCTCTCACTTTGGTGAAAAACACCTCCGCCACGTGAAGGCAGTGAGTAGGACTTCCTCAGGAGAGGCTATGTAAGACGCCCGGTCATATGGAAGCATTTCAAGAGGTGTGCGGAGGGGTGGCCAACCCGCAGCGCAAGGCACCCACCCCCGACCATCCTGAGGCTTTGGAAGCAGTTAAAATAACCATAACTAACTGTATTTATGTTTAACAAACTTAATGTACAAATACATACAAAATAACCCATATAGATTTGCGATTGTGCAGCTAAGTAAAAATGAATTCGCCGCTGAAAAGAGACTTTTCACTGAACTACGTGTTTTGTTTTCATTAAAACAATTGGTCCCTTTTTTATAAATTTGAATGCGGTTATCAGAAGACAGGAATTATCTGGAAAATGTGACGTATTTGCACAGTATTACTAATTTCAAAAGTACACAAGTGATTATATACCATCCCACACTATGTATGTATGTGTGTGTGTGTGGACATGCATAGGGAGCAGTAGTCGTGCTTTGAGTGTATGCGAGTAGGAGGGCATATTCCTAAATGATTAGAAAAAGAAATGAACTTTGAAAAATCTATAGACGCAGCTGCAGACTACCAAAATCGTTTATAACCAAATATTTAATCGATATAAACCACAAGACTGATGTCAAAACAGCTTTTAAAGTTATTTATAAAGACGGTCAAGAGCTCGTATTGAAATACTCTAGGGCGATAGCTATTCGTAAACTGAAGCCCACAGGTCCTACAGCAGATCCAGATAGCAGGTGGTTGGACCTCTCTTGCACACTCAGACCTCGAGTTGTTTTTTAGCGAATTACAATTTCTTCTGATGTTAAATGTATTCAATATCTATATAGAGGTTTTTAGCAATTTATTTGGTACTAGACAGATGATGAAAAAAACATCCTTCCACTCACCCACTGGGTTTCGAACCCAGGACGTTTCAGTTATAAGGTAATCTTGTAGACCGTTCAGCCAATGGAACTCCATCCAGTGGTCAACCCGTGAATTCTGATTTTTTTTTAACAATTCGTGGGTGAATACTATTTGGAGCATTTAAAGTTCTCATTCACTCGCTTAATCTCTACACTACTCAAATCCTGATTCTTCTACCGATTCAGTTGTAAATTCATTAAAATTAAACATTGAGTCAAAATTTTCATGTAGAAAAATACACGTTATAAAGAAAAGAAAATATTGATTCATTGTGGATGAAATTCATTTTGATAAAAATTTCACAGTGTTATACAGGAATATTTACTGATGACCCAATAGTAGATTTCAGAAATACGCCTACTGATGAATTATCAAAACACACTTAGCTCTAATATCATGTCCCACTAGAAATCATTCAAACTCTAGGCTAAGTAATTCATATGAAATGAAAATGAAACTAAATGACATTCAACTAGAGATTAATGGAAAAAATGGTTAGTTTTGATGTATAACTAGTCTTTATACTAATATACCAATCGATATGGCAGTCTTAGAAGCAGTTAAAAGAGAACTAACTGCAGATCCTGAACTCACTCATAAGACAAAGCTGCCCATTGAAGAAATTATTTTAGGGATTCAGTTATGCTTCACGTCAACTATCTTTAAATTCCACAGCAAAATATGTAGACAAACAGAAGGTGTAGCAATGTGATCACCAGTATCCCCTATTGTAGGAGACATCTTTATGGACAGCTGGGAAAATATTCCACTACTCCAAATGAAATGGTGGAGATATGTGGATGACACTTCCACTCACGGTGTTACAAACAGAACATATCTATCTCTAGCTTCTTGACACATATAAACTCACTAGTTGAGGGAATAAAATTCACATTTGAATCGGAAGATGAACAAGGAGAATTAGCTATGTTAGATTGTAAAATAAAACGAATAGAAGAAGGTAAATTGCACTGCACACTAGCGTTTATAAAAAACCAACGCATTCTGCTAATAGATATTTAGACTTTAATTCATCTCAACCGTTCGTTATCTGTGAAGGCAGGCTTAGTTAAGCGTCTAACAAACCGAGCAGTAGCACTAAGTAGTACAAGAAAAGACCTAAATGATGAAATGAAACAGGTAGAAGAATAGCTGGTTGGTGTTACATAACCATCCTATAAAATTCATTAAGATCAAAATGATCACAGAAAAAAGAAAAATGAGAGTGAAACTGGTAATGATAAAGAGGAGACATCTGAAACCTTACGTAGGATTCTTAATAAAGCAGGAATTAAAGTGGCATTCATAACACATAAACTGAGTCAGGGAGAAGCTTGGTATGTTGAATGACCCTATTAACCCAATTAAAAAATACCTTGCAATGACTGTGAGTGAGGTCAAATACATAGGTCAAACTAGTAGATCGGAGGTAGTCAGATTATCGAAACATAAGAATTTAGGTAAGTGTAGAATGTTTGACCCTGCAAAGATAAGTAATTTAGAAAAACAACTCAGCAATCGCACTGCATGCATTAACACACAATCACAGTATAGCGTGGGACAAGTTTATATTTCTAGAAAGTAATATAGTAGTTAGGTGGAGAGAGGTTGATTACTGAATCTTTGTTCATAGAATCTATATTGAACGCATGCAATAAGAATGACTCATCACTCATACCGAAAATATGGAAAATACTACTACTACTACTACTACTACTACTACCAATCAAATCAAGAGATGTGAAGTAGCGGAATTATATAGATGAACTTGGAAAGTTGTTTGTGAGTACCTTGATAGTATTATGAGCAGTGATAAATTGTGCTCGCAGCGTCATCAATAAATAATACTATATAACACTGTGAGACTTTATCAAAATAAATTTTACTCACAATGGAATTATACTCTACCACCACAGTGCACAAGTTCTATTCTTATATCAAAACTACAATTCAGCGTAGAAAATTTATGAAAAGGATTGCGTAATGGCCGAGGACACAATAGAAGAAACGGTTGTAAAATTTGATAAGGTCAAAGTTGTTATTGAATGAAAAGTAAAGGTATATTTGAGTGTCATCCACCTGACAAGTGTGTGAAGAGGGTGAGAAAATGTACAAAGCGAGCATGTGAGAGTAATAATAATGAATTACATGGAGGATTTCATCATGAGCTGACATCAGTTAGAGAACCACTGGAAAACCTGGGAATACCAGATACATGTTTCGTCCCAGTTTGGGACTCTTCATCAGTACGCATCCACCGGAATTTGAACTCACCTTCTGGTTACAAGGCGAGTTCGTAGACCATTAAGCCACTCGGACCCGATCCAATAGCCAATGCATGTATTCTAACTTCTGCCAATTCACGACATAGTACGACCATTTCGCAATGTCTTCTACGATGAGTTACTGCCTCATCTTCAACCTGCTGTACCCAACTAGAACCCCAGGTTAACTTCCTGAATAGGGCCAGTCACTAGTGGGCATCAGATTAATTTTCAAGTATTGGTTTTGTAGGGATTTTGTTTCATTGCATGGAGGATTTCATCATGAGCTGACATCAGTGCGTACTGCTGAAGAGCCCCAAACTAGGCTGACGAAACAGCTGTACAGTACTCCCTACAGGTTTTCCAGTGGTTCTCCAACTGATGTCAGCTCATGATGAAATCCTCCATGCAATCAAACAAAATCTCTACAAAATCAATACTTGAAAAATAATGAATTGATCATTAAAAATAGATGCGAATGATCAGGGGGGGAGATTAAGGCTATTGTAGAATAAGAGATTGAATAAACGCAGAGTTCGGGGTTATATTGGTGAATTGCCAGCAAAATTGGAAATGCGAATCGTTCGGTATTCTTCAGCAGTAAGTTCCCACCAGAGGTCGAACACAGGTCTCTCACGGGACAAGGCGAGCTTGCACATCATTGAATCATTCTTGTTCTAAAACGGCCTTAAAATCTTCCCTAATCGTTCGATTTTATTGTGATAATTAATTCACTATTACCATCAATACATGTTCCTTTTGTACATTCTCTTACCCTCTTCACACTTGTCAAGTAGACGACACTCAACTACCTTTCCTTCTCATTCAGTAGCAATTTTAAACGTATCAATTTTCAAACCCTTTCTTCTATTGCATTGTTGACTATTACATAACTTTTGTTTTTGGTTTTAGAAGACAATTCTGAGTATATCTATCAACTGTATCAGTCTCGCCCTTTTTATTTAATAACAGACCACTATACGGATCTTGGTAAATATCCGTACGATTGTTACAGCCTCTGTGGATGATTTCGTTGATAAGGACAATTATTCTACGCTGAATTGTCCTTAATTTTTTCCATGACTCAATAATGGATAATTTCAATGGTTTGAAATACATGTTAGTCGCCAAAAGAGTGATAGTTTTTCATTCTGCTATGTAGTTATTCGGTTAAAGTGGTTCTGTGGTTCATTGGTGTGTAACCCAGTTCCACCTACAGAGGTGTGGGTAGCTAGACACACACACACACACACAATAGGTGTGGCTCATTCCCAACTGCCTACAATTTGAGTTGGTTGTTGAAATTCGGTTCACTTGTAACGACAGAAGACAAGGGCCAGGCTAGACAGATCGTTTATTCAGAAAATCAACAGATATTTATAGATTTTTATGTACATTATTATTAGCGTTATTGTTAGCAGAGAAGCTGCGTCTTCTGATTGGTTGTTTTCCTTCTGAAGGTTATTTTGTACTGCTTGTGACCGTTTCTTAGAAAGTTAAGCCATACATCTGCGAATCGTATCCGCCCACGTTAAATCTGCCGTGATTGGTTGGTGAGTTCCTCAAGGTTAGTCTTTGTCCTTGGTTTTTTTCTCCTGACCAAGATTTGGGACATAAACATTAACGTAAATTGTTGTCTACCAATTTCGGCTAGCAGACAGCTCTCACAACAAACTCATACTAATCGAATCCCGACACACTTTTATAAACCTTTTTTTAGCATTCATATTAATCGTCTGTATGTTGCTTTTTTTTGCTGAATTTTCGATAAAAAAAAAAAAAAAACAACTCAGATACCAAATTGTATTCCTTTTAACGGGTGGTGGAAAGTTCAATTTCGTCGGGTCTAAACGTTGGCTTGATCAAAGTATTGAAGATTCTGTTGGTTTAGGTATGTTCTTTGCTATTTTGTGCTTGTATAGTGTTTATTGATGTTTTGTTTAACACTGATTTTGTCTAAGAATGTGAATAAGTGAGCATTCCTCGTATTTTTTTGATTTGCCAACTTGTGTCATCTCTGGCGTAGATGTGATTGATATCTGGCTACCCATCAAATGTCACCTGTACTGTGCAGCAGTCTCTGCTTGGTGCTTCTGTACAGGACGATACATGGCCACTGAAAGTGGAATACTGGCTGTCTCTAACCACAGATGTGTTTTCAGTCTCTCTTCCATGTTAATTGGTGTAATATACTGAACAATATGGAGGTTAGGTGAACTGTTAGTTGGGGAAGAGGGATAACAATCAATATGATTGCAGTGATACGCCGACTAAAACGACTTGGACATGTGTTGCACATGCCGAGCCGCCTCCTTTCTACACAGGTCATGTTAACTGAAGTAAGATTAGGTTGGGAAAGAACTAGAAGTGGTCCCATTGGAAACCTGGAATCAATCGATAATGTCGTTGAAAGTTGGTTTGAGCCAACTAAGTAGAGAGGTGTGTAGACTGCCTAGTTGGAGTTATCGGGGATCTAAGAACCAATGGTCGAAGGCTATTGGTGGTATGGCTCAATATTGTCCTCAATGGCGCAGATGAATTCACTCTTTGTTACCTGCCAGGTCCATTGAAGCCACATGTTTTTCCGTGTGACTATTCCTTCTCCAGTGCATCAAAGTATCCAATACAGTCCTACAGGAAGTCAATCGCCAACCCGAACAGCTCAGTGATAATATTTCTGACTGCAAGCAGCACTGGCTGACATGGGGTTGAATCCCAGAATGGATATAAGTTCCTCCAAGATTGCAGATACATACCCTGCTGATGACTGGTGAGTGCCAACTAGCACGAAAACCAAGTTAGCGAAAGCTTCCCTCTTATAACAAAAATCCGGAGTATACCGTGATGGTGAGCCAGCCACCTAGCGTGGTGACCACAGTGGAAACTTGACTGATAGAATTTAGTCTGCACTAAATGAAGGACTATACGCATGACATTAGTTCCAACCTAGTGTCCAATCAAAGTACGTTGAAGCTCAATCATTCAGTGAGCTTTCCCTCTCAGATACTTTCCAGCTACGTTGATGGTAATCCTGCATATATATTGGTTAAATACAATCAATAGGAAGCTATAAAGATTACATGTCTGCAGTTAACTTGTCTACAGCTTAAAAGTTAATTTTCTATAGTTGGTTTGTAAGAATTATAGTTTTGTTTTTTTACGAGTTGATCACGGATTGATATCAGTTGAGAGAACCATTGAAAACCAGCCACAGGGAGTACTGCCAGACAGCTGTTTCATCCCACTAGTTTGGGAATCATCGGTAGTACGCACCCACCACTACAGGGGTTCGAACCCAGAACCTTCCGGTTACAAGGCCAGCAAGCTCGTATACCATTCAGCCATTCACTGGGATCCCACCTGATTCAATGGTCAGCCCATGAATTCTAACTTCTACCAAAGTTAATGATATGAATAAAATTCAAGTCTACATCAAGGAGTATAGTAGCTAAAATATTTTACTATTGAGTTATTAAGGCCTTGCTTGACTTGTTACCTTAAATTAGGTATGCAGAACCAGTTACCGATGTCATGTCTAGTAAAAATTTATGATGTATTATCAACAAGTATGAGAACCTAGCCAAACAGATTCCCATCACTTTCAGCCGTGTAACACTAATAGAAAATTCACCACGACTTCAGATTAGCGACAGTGGCATAGAAAACTTTGGAGCTTTATCCCACTCTTTAGCGTTCCGAATGGAGCATTGAGCTTTTCACCAGTGGTGGTACAGCTCTATTTAAGGGGTGGAATTGCTAGCATCACAGTTACCCTTCTTTACCGGGCGTATCTCTAGCTCGTCAGCTGGCGGATCAAACATGGACCAGGTTCTAGACTGGCGCAAGGATTCGAACACTAAACTACGGACGCATCTATTTAGAACTAAACTGTTAGTTAGTTGGATCTTAATTACCCAATATTGGGCTGTAAGCCTTAAATTAGTGTGTGGGGGTGGGTGGAGCGGGACTCGAACCCAGGATTCATTGACTGACTGACTGACTATTGGTCGAGTGCTTAAGTCCCCGACGCATCACATCTCCACTAGAACTAAACAACTTGACGTTAGAATGCTTCTAAGCAATTTCTTTAAAACAAATAGTATTTTTGATCATAGGTAATAAAAGGACAGTTGCAGCGAAGAAAATTTTCTTTTCGACGAAGTCATCATCTAGGCTGTACATTCGTGTATTTATATCAAATGGATGGGAAAGTTCCAGAATAATTTCCGGTTAAGGGTCAAATTAATATAAATTACAATTGGGAATTAGAATGCCATAATAAACAGGGGGATGGGTAAAACTCAAACAAAATAGCATAATAACTAAGAAGATTGACATTGTGCAATTGGGGGTTAGAAATGTAGAAATAACAAAATAGACAGGATGTTTGGATAAAAAACTAATGTGATGAATAATTGTTTATGCAATCAGGGATTAAATATGTAGAAATAGTAAAATAACAAAATAAACAGGAAGTTTGGATATGAAAATATGGTAGTGTAGACAGGGATTAAGAAAAACTTAAAACAACATGAATAAACAGGAAGTTTAGATAAGAAAGGCGATGGGATGGTCATTATTAAAAGTTTTTTACTTGTTTGTGATGGCCATGGCAAGGACAGGGGTTGGACGTAATTCTTTTGGATACAAAGAGTGGGTTTGAGCTTTTGGATAGCTAACGCCTCAGCTATGCCCAGATGTCTTGATTTGACTCCCTTTGATAGGTTTGATTGAATCTTGTATATTACTTTGAAGGATTTTTCGAAAGGCGCTGAATGTCCTGAGTTGACCAGATGTTCTGTCACTGAACCCCCAATTGCACAATGTCAATCTTCTTAGTTATTATAATGCTACTTTGTTCGAGTTTTATCCGTCCCCCTGTTTATTATGGCATACTAATTCCTAATTGTAATTTTTATTAATTTGACCCTTAACCGGAAATTATTCTAGAACTTTCCCATCCATTTGATATAAATACACGAATGTACAGCCTAGATGATGACTTTGTCGAAAAGACAATTTTCTTCGCTGCAACTGTCTTTTTTTCCCCTGCCGGCGCACACCCGATATCTATGGTCGGCCTGAATTTGGGCTACCGATATCCATGCTGAAAATTCCATACTTGTACTGAAAATACGGTGTGGAATCAAGTTGTAAATCAAATAAAATAAAAATATGATCAAATGTGTATATTTTTGATATCTACAATGTGATCAAGTAACTGAAGCAAATTTTTCGATTGGTTCATGTATTTTTTTTTCAGCCCTCTTAGATTCTGTTGCTCAAGTAATCTGCTTGGAAGGTTTGGGTTCGTCAAATTTCGGTCAGAATTTGTATGCGCATGTCTCGAAACCACCGAAAGAAGGCTCATTTTCATACAATTTCCTCAAAGCTTTGAATTTATCAAGTCATTTGCATCCTTATCCAAATGAGGTAGCTCTACAATCTCTTATTACTATCATTGTTTGTTTTTGTTTATATTATACTAATGCGACGTCACTTCATCATTTTACTCAATTATTGAGTCTCTTCTAATTGGGAATTATCATGAATGTAAATAGCTATGAATCCTGCTTAACTATTCAGTGTGTTGAGCATTTGAAGATGTGTTATGTTGTCGCAATTTTTTCTGAATTACTTATCTTTGCGGGGTCAACCATTCTACATGTAGCTAAATTCTTATTTTCCGGCTATCTGACTACCTCCGATCTACTAGTTTGACCTATGTATTTGACCTCACTCACAGTCATTGCAAGGTATTTTCCAATTGGGTTAATAGGGTCATTCAACATACCGAGCTTGTCCCTGATTGAGTTTGTGTGTTATGAATGCCACTTTAATTCCTGCTTTATTAAGCATCCTACGTAGGCTTCCAGATGTCCCCTCCTTATATGGTAAAACTGTGTGTTATCATTACCAGTTTCACTGTTACTCTTATTTTTCTTGTGACCTTTTCTGACCTGCCTAATGAATTTTATAGGATAGTTAATTGACACCAACGCTTCTTCTGTTTTATTTCATCATTTAGGTGTTTTGTTGTGCTACTTAGTGCTATTGCTCGGTTTGTTAGACATTTAACTAAGTCTGCCTTCACAGACAACGAATGGGCGAGATGAATTGAAGCCTGCAAACGCTAGTGTACAATGCAGTTTACCTTCTTCTGTTCGTTTTATTTTACAATCTGACACCATAGCTAATTCTCCTTGTTGATTTTCCGATTCAAATGTGAATTTTATTCCTTTCACTGGTTAGTTCATATGTGTCAAGAAGCTAGAGAAATGTTCTGCTCTTAACACTGTCATCCACATACAATAAGTCGTGCTGGAAATTTCATCAGTAAATAATACTGTGAGACTTTATCGAATAAATTTATTCTGTGATGGAATTATTCTCTACCACAGTGCCCAAGTTCTATTCTTATAGGCTATAGAACGTTTAAAAATCAGTATTTATATTTTAATATATATATATATATATATATATATGCGTCTTTGGTGCAGCGGTACAACGCTCGCCAACCATTCACGTGGTCCGCGGTTCGATTCTCATCCAGTGCAATCCTTAACCTTGCTGAGCCGGTAGTTACGTTGGTAAAGAGGGAGGGTTCTCTATCTGTCTGTTTTCAACATAGAACTTTGCACCGATATGCAGCAGTTCAAGTCGCCACACTCCCCCTCACCCATGTAGCACACAAAGCAAGAGAAGAAAGTAGAAGAAATGCAAAGTAGAGACAGTAAACAGGGATATGAGACAAAAGCAACAGTAATAACGAAGAACAATATAGTTTCATTGGAAATCATAAGTCACAAGGAGTGGATGCATCTGCGCTGTCATTGAGAACGATCACTTTGAGTCACATCACCCATTGTCTCCAGCCTTCATTGGTTTGTACAGTCTCGAGGACCCCAACCAGTCAGGAAGTCTACACTTTCCTTCCTACGTGACTGGCTGCCTTTAACTAACTGTTGTGGTTTTCATTGACTGATGAAGTCATGTTTTGGTTTGACCACCACTGGCTCTTTTCCAGCATGACCCTATGTCAGCTAACATTGACCGTCAGTCGAGGAAGGCGATGACTAATCTAGGTTTGCGTAGCACATGTCCTAACCACCTCAGTCGATGTAGCTTCATAAGCTCATCAATTGATTTCTCCTCTCATCTACCTAGCACTTGACTGATGCCTGACCTCAATATTGCTCACCCTATTATGCCACTTCACACGGGAGATAGAGCGCAGGCACCTATGATCAAAGACACCCAACTGGCTTTTTCATGTCTTCCACTCTCAGTGGGCATGTGTCACTCACAACCATAAAGGTGGACGGAGGGGAGTGCTGAGCAGTACACCCACCCTTTGATCGATAACCGGATATCACGTCTACTAATCCAGAGACGGCGTAAACTGGCATATGTGAAAGATGGAGGGTTGGGTGTGTGACTAGCAACCCCCTCCTGCGTAAAAATAAACACCACTGCTACCGAAACTTCAAGCCTCTGGCTTGAAACCCCCCGTTCCACTGGGAACGTAAAGCATTAGAAAATAGAAAAGAAGAATAGACATAGAGATGTGATGGCATACGAATTCAGTTGCTGAAGTGAGTTAACGTGGTACATGTATGACTACTCATACTCTCTCATAGTCAACACAGATGGTTGTTTAGAAAAATCTTGCCAATGATTCTTAACGGTTAATAATTTGTATATATGTTGGTTTGACAACTAACAAGTACGGCTTTTTGATTGGATGGATACTAGTCAGTAACTGGTGTAATGTGTCTAGTCATTTGTTTGGCGCAGACTGAATTCAATCAGTCAAGTTTGTAATGTGACCACGACGCTAGGTGGCTTGCCATCACGGTGCACTGTGAATTGTTGTTATTAGATGAACCTGGGTGTTTTTTCTTCCTGGCACTCACCAGTCAGCAAGGCATATCTGCAACCTTGGGGGGAATATTCATGTCCCTTCTAGGATTCGAACCCGTGTCATCCAATGTTGCAGTTCAAGAGGCTGGTGATTGAACTCCTGTAGGACTGCAGCAGATACTTTGACTTGGCAAAAGTCAGTAACTAGTGTAATGTATCTAGTCCTGTCTTAGTCAGTCGCGAGTCTGAATAGCTCAGTGGTAAGTAACTTCTTTGACTCTAGCACTGGATGATGCGGATTTGAATCTCAGGAGAGACATGAGTGTTCCTTTAAGATTACATATGTAACAACAGAAGACAAGGGCCAGGCCAGACAGATCGTTTATTAAGGAAAATCAAGACATATTTATAGATTTTTATGTACATTATTGTAGATTATTGTGAGTAGAAAATACAGTCTTTTGATTGGTGGTTGTTTCTCACAGAAAGTTAACCTTGCATCTCTTTGTGGCTGGCTGTGTCAGATCATCATCCATATGCTAACTGTATCCGCCTACACAAAGCCTTTGTTCTCATTTTCTCCCACCACCAATATTGGGGACATAAACATTGACGTCACTGTCTACTGTCTACCAACTTTGGCTAGCAGCCAGCTCTCACCACACATATACGCCTTGCTGACTGGTGAGTGCCAACTAGCACAAAAACCAAAATTAGCGAAGACTTCCTTCTGATTGCCTGAAATCATCAACTTATATCAGCAAGTAGTACTTTTATCAGAAGAAGAAAGCTGATGGGTGTTTTCAATTTTTAATCGACCATTTAAAGTCTTTTATTGAACATCTTTCAGGAAAGAGAAGTAATTTGATGCCGTCGCTGATTTCATAGTGGATCGTTTGTTTTCAGTCTAATGTTCATTTGGCTTGCCTCACCTCAGTATCATCAGCAAATTGTAAAAATAATTTTTTTTTTGTCTACCATCTTAATGTGTCAGTTAAAATAGAATAAAAAATGTGTGTCAGGTCAACGCAAAATACAACAATAAATACCGTCGGTTCAAATTGTTTGTATGTGTGTTGTAGAAATAAGAGTAGGTCTGTTAATTTAACTTTCACTCTCTTCGTAATGTGAAGTCTGAAGTGAAATATATCTGAGATGTCTTTGCTCAAAATGTTATCTCTCATTATTACTAATCATTTTAATGGTGTGTGTGGACAGTCGTGTGTATAGTTGACCTTCAAATGAGATTATATTTCAATATAAACAATTAGAAGGTCAAAATTAAAATCAATAGATGTTGGAATTTTTGGTATGCTGTATGTATCTAGCACGTTAGTAATTGCATTCTGGAATAAGAAAGTTATAACAAAATAATATTACCGGTGAGTGAAAGGTAAAAGAAATCCAAAAAAGTACATAGAGTAAGATGGCAAAGTTAAACTTTAAGCACCACTAACTAACTACCACCAATCAGCAAATGACCTCGAAAGCACCAGTCACGTGAAGGAGGCATTTTTGTGTATAGAATACATAAATATTTATGAAATAAATACACAAAAACTGTAGAAAAGTGTTTCAGAGGATACCTTTCTCTCACATGCGATAAAAATAGCTCTCAGTTTTAGGTTGGAGTCTCAACAGAGTATAATTCCATTGTGGGTAAAATTTATTATGATAAAGACTCATAGTATATAGTACAGTAATATTTCCTGAGCAATAAATTGAGCTGGAAATGTCGTCATCAGTAAATATTACTGTATAACAGCACTGTGAGACTTTATCAGAATAAATGTTACCCACAATGGAATTATACTCTACCACCACAGTGCACAAGTTCTATTCTTATATCAACAGAGAAATTTAACCGCATTCTATGCATGTAATTACTTAGATCTTCTAACCCTAACAATAACCCTAATCTTTCCTGAACCTAATCGTAACGTGAGAATATACCTAAACTAACTGTAATCTAACTCGCTTTTATTAGGTTAACCTAACCCTAACTTGTCCATGGTTTAAAGCATAACTTAATCTTTCTCAAACCTAAGCTGAAACTTGCCAGAAATCCCATTCAATAGCATAACACTTCGATGAGCATATTGATTTATTGATGATGACAACATTATCTGCCCAGGTTTCACTAACTTGCTCAGTGAGCGTCTCAAGGTCATTGGTGCGGCCGCACTCCATTGGTAATTAGTGGTGCTTAAAGTTAAAGTCTTTTACCTACCTGAGAAGCATCGTTTCAACTACAGGCGGAACTGACGAGGATATCAAAGCAAGAATCGGAAAAGCAAGACAAGCTTTCACTACTCTCAAGTCTGTGTGGAGGTCAACAGCACCCAGCATCAAATATAAGATCCGGATTTTCAACTCCAATGTGTAGTCAGTGCTACTCACTATAAGGATCAGAGACTTGGCGCGTCATAAAGAGCATCTCAAACAAACTACAGACCTTCATTAACAGTTGTCTTCGCTCAATACTCAAGATCAGATGGCCAGAAAAGGTCAGCAACAGGGATCTCTAGGAGCGAACCAACCCAGCAGGAACCGATTGTGAAACAAATAGGCAGGAAGAAATGGAGATGGATTAGCCATACTCTGAGGAAACCATCAAGTGACATCACTAGACAAGCCATTGCTCGAGTGGAACCCGAGAGGGAAGCGGCGAGTTGGTCGTCAGTGCAAGGGTGACTTGGAGGAGGTCATGTGAAGAGGAGATGAAAAGGTGTGGGCAGACTTGGAGCCAGGTGAAGACTCTAGCAGAGAACCGAACGCAATGGAGACGCACGGCTGAAGCCCTATGTTCCTCTAGGAATTAAAGGAAACAATAATATAATGATAATAATAAAGTTTAACGTGGCCAGTAAGATTCATCATAGAAAATGAGCAGTTTATGCGAAGTAGTGAGCAGACTTTCAGACACTGGAAGTGGAAATAAAGGTGACTATAGCAACATTAGCCGCCAACCACGTGAGATTGGTCTGCGTTCCGATATCCAGTTATCCACGAAAGGTCGTGTGTACTGCTCAGCACTCTACTCCGTCCTCCTTTATGGCTTTAAGACCTGGCCATTAAAAGTGGAAGACATGAAAAGTCTGTCTAGCTGTCTTTGATCATAGTGTAGACTTCCTGACTGCCTGGTTGGGGGGGGGGGGTCGGGACCGTAATAACCAATGAAGACTGGAGACAATTGGTCATATGGCTTAAAATCGTTCTCAATGACTGGTGCAAATGCATCCACTCCCTGTGTGACTTATAGTAGGCAATAAAACTATATTGTTCTTCCATATTAATATTCTTTTTGCCTCATATTTCTGTTTATTATCTCCGTTTTTAGTCTCTTTTTACTTTCTTCTCTTACTCTGTGGGCTAAGTGAAGTATGTCGACTCAAGCTGCTGCTGTACATCGGTGCAAAGTTCTAATCAGGTTCGATCCCTGACTGATGCACTCCTTTGCCTCGCTTAGCTCGATAGTAAGACCAGTAAAGAGGAAAGGTTGGGTATGAGGCTAGCAACCTCACCTCGTGAAAACGACACCATTGCCAGTGAAAATTCAAAGCTCAAGGGGCTTGAAGCCCTGTATTGTACTGGGAACGCAAAGGAATCGACGAATAGCAGCAGTCAAAAGAACATAAGTTATGGATAAGCTTATCAGTTGTAAAGGATTATTGAAGCAACTAAGAAGAAATTGCATTCCTTGGTTGGTTTTAACAAGACGTTGATTGTAGCATTATTGTAGACAAAATTAGAATTTCACCTTTTGAAATCCTTTCGACAGAAGAGCTCGATGACATATTGTGATAAAGATTGATTAGATATTCGAGGTGTTCCCGTATTGAATGGCTTACACTGTTGCGTGTTGCAGATTGATAGGAAGCCACCGAAACTGAAATCAAGATTTTGAGTCACTGGCTGCGGAGATAGAAGTGTTTATTCCTCAAGCCTGGAATTAATTATTAACGTTGTGGACATGGAATTAACTCATTGGACAATTTGCTTAACCTTGGGCCAATTGCCAACCAACCAATCAGAATAAATTATTCTTCTCTTGCTAAGGATGTATAAATATATGATCTCAGCGTATGCCCAATCCATCTCCATTTCCTCCTGCATATTTGTTTAGCAATCGGTTCTTCGTTGGTTTACTCCCAGGAATTTTTTTGTTACTCAGTGATTCTGGCCATTTGATCTTCAGTATGAAGCCAGCCAGCCAGCGAAGTGGTCAACTGTTGATAAAAGTCTGCAGCTGTCTACTGGAAATGCTTTTCGTGACACGCACTGCAAGTTTCTGACGCGTGAAGAAGGACCAACTTGACATTGGTGTTGAAAACGCGAATCTTGTTGTTTATACTGGCTGAGTGACAGCAGACGATCTCCAGGCTGGTTTCAGGTTGATATAGGCGTATCTTGTCTTTCCGATTCTGATTGGCTTTGACATGTTCATCCGTTCCGCTGGCCTGTAGTTGAAACGATGCTTTCTAGCCGGATTAGTGAAGGAAGTAACCTCTTTCAAGTTTCTCCCGTTGATAGTGATTGGCGGTGTTCGTTTTTGCCGTTTTTTGGTTATCTTCATCACCTCCATCTTCTCCATGTTCACCTGGTGTCCTGTCTTCACTGCCTCTCTCTTCAGCCAGTTTGTTGGTTTTCATCTGTAAGTCTTCGAGTTTGTGTGGCATTAAACATAAGTCATCTGATAAATCCAGATCGTTTAGAGTCTTCTTGTTGGTGGTCCAGCGTATTCCTAACTCCTCGCTTCCATGCACAGTCTGACGCATAATCAAGTCTACCACAATTACGAATATCATTGGTGATAGTAGGCAGACAGCTTTGTCTTACTTCTGTATTCACTTCGAACGTCTCACTAAGGTTTCCATTGAGTATCACTCGACACATGCCACTGTCATGTAGCTGTTGAATGAGGTCGGTAAAGACTTGGGGTACTGTTTTCTCTAGTGTTGAAGTAGTTTCCAAGTTACTTCTCAGTCAACGCTGTCTGTCGAAGGTCTTTTCGAAGTTGAGGTAGGGGTTTGACTGCCATTCTATGCTTTTCTCTGTGATGACGATCAGCACATGAACTACCTTTCCTGAATCCAGCTTGTTCGTGTGGGCGGAGTTCTCCACCCAATGCATGTTTTATACGCTCCAGGATGATGCGACACAATATTTTACTTGGCGTGGACAAGAGCATGATTCCACGCCAGTTCTTGTCCAGGTCTAAGTCGCTCTTGTTCGGCAGCTTGACAAGGTAGCCAGCCTTTCTTCCAATCGGTAGGTACCTTTCCTTCTTTCCAAACCTTTTGAAGTAATGGCGTGAGCACATCTGCCACAGTCTCTGGGTCCGTTTTCACTGCTACGGGATGGGGGAATTCTGTCTAACCTTGCTGCCTTTCTAACCTGTGTTCAGTAGCTTTATTGCATTCAAGTTTTCTGTTTTCTTTGAAGAAAACAAACCACTATGTTCTGCTATACGGCAGTGCATCTCTTGGCACGTATGATGTGCCAAGTTTGTGTCTTTAGTAAACAAATAAATAAAATCTCAGCATAGATACAAAGTGTACTGCGCAGCACTTTGCTCTGTATTTCTTTAAGGCTGTGAGACATAGTCGCTAAAACTCGGAGACATGAAATGACTAATCGCCTTTGGCCACAAATGTTCGCGTTCCATCTTCTCCAGTTAAGTGGTATAATATAATCAGGTTAAGTGTAAAGTGTGCGTCGGTGGCATAGTGGTTAGGATGCTCGCCGACCATGCACATGGTCCGGGGTTCGATCCCCGGCCAACGGACGCACTCCTTTACCTCGCTAAGCCGGAAATGACGCTGGTGAAGAGGAAAGGTTGGGCATGAGGCTAGCAACGCCATCCTGTAAAATAAGCACTGCTACAGAAAATTCAAGCCAGTAGCTTGAAGCCCTATGTTCCACTGGGGATCGTGAAGGAAATAAAAAAGGTGTAAAGTGCTAAATGAATCTGTCTGTGTGCCCTTAGAAGTGTCTGTGGGCGGTTGTTACTTTCCGACTGCCCACACCGCGGAAGTTGATTGATTCTTCGGGTACCTGAAACAGAAAGGGAGTTAGTGTTGCGTGACCGCAGAGCCCAGGGAACAACTAGGCTTGAGGCCGGCCGGTCACACACGGCTTGTATGAACTGGTTTCTTGGTTTGCTTCCGTATTAGTAAAAGTACCGCCGGTTGCGGACCACCTTAGGTGGAGTAAGTCGGGATGTACAATTGTCGGGGTCGAGCTTTTCTAACTCCCTCTCTTTCTCCAGATTGGAGAGACAGCATAACCGGCTGGCAAGCTGGTCATCTGAGGGAAACACCTTACTGCTGTTACATCCCTGTTTCCCAGCAGTACGACTTCGCCCATGGACCCCCCAGCATAGTGTAAAAATTCTTACACAATGCCGGTAACTGCTTTTACTCTAGTCGCTATCCTAACAACCTTCCTGGCATGGTGGTAGAACCTGTAGGAACAATAGTTCCTGCCAGTGTATCTTGTTGGGTCATTGCGATGTTCAAGCCCGGCGACCACCACGTCAAGGTAGCAGCTATCGGTCGGGCTAAGTGAATAGGGTAAGTCAGTCGATAAGGTTGTGAAGGTGAACCGACTGAGATGTCTCGGAAACATGTGCCACATGCCAAGCCACCGCCTTTTTGGACGGGGTTAGTGCTAGCCTATGTTGGATTAAGTTGGAAGTGTTGGGGGTGGGGCTAGCCAAACCAAAGCCTGGAATCAATCCATTAAGTCTTCAACTGTTGGTTTCAGCCATGAGGGGTGGTGTGTAGATTGCCTGGTTGGGGTACCGGAGATTCCAAGGTGATATAGTTGAAGATCTTTCTCAATCTCACAGATGCATTACCCTCTTGTGATCCTTTCATATTCGTTAAACTGTCATTTTTTTTGTGTGTGTCTGAAGCCAGTCCTTTATATCACCTTCAGCTGACAATGCTGAGGCATTTATCCACCTCTCTCTTTTACCGTTAATGGTTAGTTCTTCAAGCGATTTTGTCACACACAATAAATTTGAAATGTGAAAATATCTTTTTTATTATTTAAAAATTTTAGTTGTCAAATTCCAAATCACTAAACGACAACAATGCCAACAACAACAACAACAATCAGTCAAGTTTCGTGCATATGATTCATAAAAAGATCAATCTGAATCAAGAGATTCTAGCCTGGGAACATGAACGCTATTCAATTCACAGGTTGCCTGGCTTGACTCTATCCAATTGGCCGTCTGTACATACAGCTAATCAATGGCGTCAGACATCACTTGATGGCGGTGTACCAATGGATACCGGTGATGAAAATGCTTCAGAATATTATCATACAATCAATAAATCTGGGGCTGATGGTTCTCATCATCGTGGCAATGTTAGCCCACTTCTTCTGGCACGTAATACTCATGTTATTCTAGAGGCTATATTACGTGTAATATATGAGATTAATGCTTCGCATCCGATGATAAATAATTCACCGATAGTACCAGCTCATGTAAGTAATTCATGGTGTTATTTGTCTTTTTTTTTAATGATAATTTAAAGACAAGGGAACGAGGTGGCGATGGCCTCTCTCTATTGGGTCCCATTTTGGCTGATTTCTTTATAAGTAAACTAGAAAATGGACCTTCGAACAACCTTATCAGAAAGTTCTCATTTTATTTCCGGTATGTGGATGACACCTTCATTCTTTATGATAATGAATTCAGTGAAGTACATTGGGCTATGAAATTCACGTGCGAAGATGAATCCCAAAATAGAATTAACTGCCCTTCCTGGATGTCCTCCTTACAAATGGTAGCATAAAAGAAATTTGCATAGAAAAAGTACATCGACAGGACAATATACACATTTTCACAGCTTCGTTCCCCTCAGGTGGAAAAGAAATTTAGTAAAGACCCTCAGCCACAGAGTTAGAGCTATATGCTCAGAAGAAGTAATTGAAGGTGAATTAAGCATTGTATTTATGAAGAAACACATGACAAAGAAAACGGAAAAGGACTACTCACTATCCGTAAACGACTACAATTCAAGGACTATATACCAAGCGAAGTAATTATGAAGAAATTAAGAAAATCAGTCCGAAGAACTTTTAATGCTGGCAAACTACATGTTCTTACTCTCTACACGACCGATGGTGCTACCTCGACTGAAAGATGAAGTACCTAGACTGGCCACTTCAAATTGTATTTATCAATTCAACTACGCTGGTGGTGGAGCGAGTTATATCGGCCGTTGCTCTAGGAACTCGATTTTTCTTGCTGGAGAACATCTCCCACTATGGTTAAGTAAAGGTGTAGTGAAAACCATTAACAGTTCGATATTCAACCATCTGGTGCAAACCGGCCACAAAGCCAGCCAGTATTAAAGAATCCTTCTCTATCATCTACCAGGTACGAAATAAATTGCCAAAAACATCGATGCACCGCATGCTCCAAACAGCAGAGCCTATTGCAATTCGCCTCAAACAACAAGTGCTCTGTGTGCAAAAGAAACAAGTCCAACCAGCCACTACTACTGCCCTTGCTGGCCTTCAGTGGAGACTATAAATTCATGAATTTGTATTATTATCTTTCCTAATTTTTCTGATAATCAGTGTGTATTTTTATGTTGATGCTGTTCAGCTGTAATCTATCAATATTATTGATTTGATGTTATTTAAACATTAATGTCGTTCATAAGACTAATTCATTCATTCACTATAATGTATAAATAACTGTAGAGCTTGATGATGAAGAGGTTATCGAAAAGAGTATTCTTTGTTCAGTATCCATTTTTTTGAAAACTTTAATAGGAAAAACTACTTCAAATGTCACTTTAACTTTCAAATAATTATGGTCTCAAGTAGAAAGTGGGGTTTCAACAGCACGTCTCCGCTTCACTATGTTCCCCAAAGTCTTTCATCTGACTTCACGGTAGCCAGTAAGCCTTCATAGCCTTCTTTCTCATGGGATCTACTTCATGTCACTCTCGGAGCTATGCTCAAATCATCTTTTCTCATTTGAGTTCCAGTCGAGGGCCTGCCAGGCACGTGATGTTACTCAACGTCTTTCCCAGGCCATCTCCATTTCTTTTTGCATACTTGTACGAGGACAGGCTGTTGGCTGATTTGTTGTCCACCAGAGTTCCTTTTTGGAGTCATGGATCATTGACCGTAGCACTCGACTTTCAAACAGTGGGTGTCTGGTTCGAATCCCTCTCCACCCACCTCAACCTGCATAGGAGTATCATCAGCCCTCACATAATAAGTGCCGCTCATAACCTGGAACATGAGGGATATGTTCTGGGAACCGAGTTCAAAAACAGCTCATGGTTGTTTTTCCTTTTTTTTCTGCCTGGCCATCTGTTCCACAATTAAGTGCATGAAATTACCGAAAATTGTTTCTGTTTCTACTTGCCAAGATAAATAGAATATAAAGTTCTTACTACGTGTTATATGCCTTTACCCTTGTCTAAACCATCGAGTAAGGCTGACTCCCCTTTCTTAATTTTGATGCTAATTTTGGTTTCCATCTGCAAACTTATATTAAGCACAAACCATTACCGTACAGCATCTTCGGAGGGGAGTCATGGCTCAAGTGGTTTGGGCTATCGACTTCCAGCTGATGAATCATGGGCTCGAAACTTGAGTAGTAACCCTCTCTCCTGTGCTATCCTTTGCTAATTTATTCGTCCCTCCGTTGGCTTCAGCCATTATGTGATGAGAACTAGCTGCAAGCCATAAATCGTCAACAACAATTTACGTCAATGTTACATCCTGAATCGAGGTCATGAGAGAAACTACAACTAAGCTTAACCTTGAGAACTCAACAACCAATCAGAAACAAAGCAGCACATAATAGAAAAGAGAGAGAGAGAAAAGGAAAAGAAAGAAAGAAAATGTTGTACCTGTAAATGATATGAGCTGGAAAGATGAGATCCAGTTGTACTACTGACTATTTAATGAATTATAGGTGTCACGCCTAATGCTTTCTTTATCACACAGAACACGAGCTAAGTAGGGTATGGTTGAGTTTTTGTACTTGCTTGCTGGTGCGAGCATATAGTCTCCTATATAGGCTTCTGGTTTTGCCTGATGAGATGCAAGGGGAGAGTTGTGAGTGAAGAGGCTGGTGCGAGTTAGATAAAATGGATTTGGCCCATTTTTCACTGTTGTTCTGTGTCTTTTTTTTTCAAAAACTTTTTGATTTCATCTAGTGGTCTTCTGAAGTCAGCACTGGTGCATTATTAGATCTAGTAACTAAATATCCACGTAGTGCTCAATATTTAACTTCTAAATGGATGACAAAATCGCAAGAACGCCTCTTTACAGAGATACCAACAGCACATCGACTCAATGCTAAAGATGCTGTTTCACATAAAGCAGGAATCATTAAAAGCTTAGAGCACTATTTGTCAGGATTTATGAATGATGTTCGCGTTGTTCAACATTCATTGACTGATGAAACAATTAAAGTTGGTGGTAAGACCTCTTCATCTTCGTCTTCTGGTGGTGGTGGTCCTAGAGGAGAAGCTCAAAGAAAAAACTCGGCTGAATCTACTGGTAATTCAGTCCCGTCAATTGTTACTTCAGCGGCAGCATCAACAGAAGTAGAAGTTGTTTTGTATTCTGATGTAACACCATGTGTTATGTCTGTTCATAGGTGAGTTAAACTTGTTTCTTCCTTTGATGCAAGGGTGGGGATAAGGGCAGGGTTTTGGTTAGTGGTATTAAAAGTCATACTCGCGAGGTAATGTATATTTCTAAATAATTGTTTATAAAATGTAGAGTGGTCATATATGAGTTTATATCAACCAATAAAACAGTAGTATAGTGTGTAGTGTTTCAAACATAATTTATTGCTCAATTTACTGTCATTTATTTTAATTCCGTTACTTTCCCAGTGAAACATAGGGCTTCAAGCTAGAGGCTTGAAGTTTTGGTAGCCTATGGTGTTTATTTTTACGGGGTGGGGTTGCTAACCTAATGCCCCCCCCCCCCGACCTTCCCTTTTTACCAGTCTTATTACTGGCTTAGCGAGGTAAAGGAGTGAGTCGGCGGCTGAGGATCGAACCCCGAACCACAATCGCTCTGCCACCGACGCACAATTTACTCTCATAGACCACCTTATATTTCATATAGGCAGTATGCAATCTTTGAATACGTTAGTGACCTTGCAGTGAGAGCGGGCTGCCAACCAAAAATTGTAGACATCAATTTACGTCAGCGTTCGCGTCCCTAATCGGGTTCTTGAGAAAATAGCAATAACAAAGCCTAACCTTGTGGAACTCAACAACCAATCACAGCAAACTTAGCGTGTGCAAGTACGATTCGCAGATATATGGCTTAACTTTCTAAGAAATGGTCACGAGCAGTATCTTCAGCAAGAAAACAAACAATCAGAAGAGGTTGCTTCTCCGCTAACAATGATGTAGATAAAAATCTTTAAATATTTGTTGATTTTCTCAATAAACGATCTGTCTGGTCTGGTCTGACCCTTGTCTTCTGTTATTACAACCTGACCTGAAGCATTGTAATGAACAGATAATATACTGGAGATAGAACAGTAACAATTAAATACACGAGAATTTACTAGATGTAGAAGATTACAATTAAGGAGTACATCTACGCCGTTGAGAAGAACACTTCTGAGCCATATCACTAACAGTCTCGATTCCTGACCACCCCCAACAAAGCTGTCTACATCCTCTCTACATTGCTAGTTCACAACAATAGTCGAAGACTAGATGGATTGATGCTAAGCTTTGATTTGACCATCCATAACTCTTTTCAACCTTATTCAATGTCAGCTTACATTGGTTGTAGAGCAAGACGGTGACTTGACACAACCTTATTATTAGTAGTAGTATTATTACTGTTTCCTTTAATTCCTAGAAGAACAAAGGACTTCAGCTGCACGTCTCCATTGCGTTCAGTTCTCTGCCAGCGTTTTCACCTGGCTCCACGTCTGTCCACATGCTTTCATCTACTCTCCATCCTCCATGTCATCCTTGCACTGACGATCAACTCGCGGCTTCCCATCCGGGTTTCACTCGGGAGATAACCTGGCGTGTGATTTCACTAACGTAATAGATTTCTTTCGCAGAGTATGGCCAATCCACCTCAATTTCTTCCTGCATATTTCTTACACAATTGGTTCCTGGTTGGTTCGCTCCCAGAGATCCCTCCCCATTGCTGATCTTTTCTGGCCGGTCAACTAATCTTGAGTAGTATTGAGTGAAGACAGCTGTTGATAAAGGTCTGTAGTTTGTTCGAAGTGGCTTTTGTGAGGTTGCGTCAAGTTTCTGATCCATTAAGAAGCAGTCACTTCACATTGGAGTTAGGAATCCGGATCTTATTTTTCATGCCGAGTGTTGGGTGATGAAAGCTCGCCTTGCTTTTCCGATCCTTGGTTTGATATCCTCGTCAGTTCCGCTTGTAGTTGAAACTATGCTTCCCACGTAGGTAGGTAAAGGAGGTTGCTTCTCTCAGACTCCTCCTATATATGCAGCTTGTTCTCTGTTGCTGTTGGCCAGGAATCTTCATCACCTCTGTTTTCTCTATGTTCACCTGAAGGATGTCCTATCTTTGATGCTTCTTCTGTCAACTTGTTGCTTTTTTCACTTGCATATCTTCCAGTTTGTGTGAAATCAGACATATATCATCAGCGAAGTCCAGATACTCCAAGTATTTTGTATGGGTCCATGTTATGCCTCTCTATTCATTGCCTGCTGTGTGTCTGTCTGACACAACCTTATCGATTAAATTTTAACCTCCCCCCCTCCTTATCTAACAATCTACGCCTAACCGCAATATTACTTACTATGTTATATCACACTTAACACAGGAGATAGAATGTAAAGACAACTGGTCGATTAATATCAATCACTTTCAATGATGAACTGCCGCACAGTACTCACGTCTTTTGATCGATATTTGGCTAAGTTCAACAGTATTTTCTATGTTTGTTTTTTTTTTTCTTTGTTAAACATTTCAGACTAAAGTCATCTGTATTCGATTTCGCTATAGCTTGTGCTGTAGCTAGTTATCTTGGCCTTGTATATTTACTTTTGGAGGTAAGAGTGCAGATATTTTTTTGGTATTGTCGTTGTTGTTAAAAATATGCAATTTTTTTATCATTTTCATAGGTGTACAGTAAATGCTACCTCAGTTTGTCTGCTTACTACCTCTGACTGAATTTTCTCTGTGTACCGTAATGGTGAACCACTTAGCATCGTCGCCATATTGCAAAGTTGACTGATAAAATTCAGTCTGCAGTAAAAAAAATCCAAGTACCTAATGTCCAATCAAAGTGTTTTTACAGTCTTACTGGAAGTCAGTTGCGTCGGTGGCACAGTGGTTAGGACGCTCGCCGACCATGCACATGGTCCGAGGTTCGATCCCCGGCCACCGACACACTCCTTTACCTCACTAAGCCTGTAATAAGACTGGTAAAGAGGGAAGGTTAGGGGGCATGAGGCTAGCGACCCCATCCTGTAAACTTCAAGCCTCTAGCTTGAAGCCGCCCTATGTTCCACTGGGAACGTGAAGGAATAACAAAAAAACAGGTCAGTCGCGAGCCCGAATAGCATTCGGTAATTCTGGGTTTGAATCTCATAAGAGGGTGATATGAGTGTCCCTTCAAGATTGTATAAGCGGCTCGTTGACTGGTTGGTGCCAACAAACACGAAACCTAGGCCAGACAAAGCTTCCTTCCGATTGCCTCCAACCATCGGAGAATTGCGCAACTTATTAATTTTTTTCTGCCTAAGTTACAGCACTGGTTATGTCCACACATAAAGTAAGAAATAGTAATGTGTATAGAAAATGAAAATTTATAAACCCTAAAGTTCTGTGAAGCCAGAAAGAATTTTTATATGGTGACAATTCATTCGTCTGAGTATCTTTGGTGTCAGTCAATTCTGGACTATAAGGTATAGAATCTGGAATCAACAATCTGGAGGAAACTTCAATTAAGTAACTAGAATCTCTCGCTCTCTTTCTCTGTATCCCCCGAACTCACGGTAAACGATTTAATAAATTATTTCAGCGCCGTTAATTTGAGTACTTCTTATCTGCTTACCTAAACTTGACTGAAATAGCTTTGTGTGCGTGTGTGTGTTGTTGTTGGAGGAGGAGAGATGGCGGTTTCCGATGCTAAGTATATCATCCCCAACTACATAAAGTGATAAGTCTTCATTATCGTACGAAGTGAATCGTTTTAGTAAGAGGCCATGACACGACAACCAGTAAGCCGACATAATGGCTTGATTGGGTAACTGAAGGTGTGGTGAGAGCTGTCTCCTTGCCAAAATTGGTAGACAGCTATTTACGTCAATGTTTACGTCCCATATCTTGGTCGTGAGAAAAAACAGAAGGACAAGACCTAACCTTGAGGAACTCAACAACCAATCACAGCAGACTTGGCGTGGGCGGATACAACTGGCAGATATATATGGTCTGGTTTTCAAAGAAATGGCCAAAAAGAGATGACAGATTAACTACCAGTAAGAAAACGACCAATCAGAAGACGCTGTTTCTCTGCTAATAATAACGAATAATAATTTACATAAAAATCTATAAATATCTGTTAGAGAACCATTGAAAACCAGCACTGTAGTACTGGACAGCTCTTTCATCCTAGTTTGGGAATCATCGGCAGTAGGCACCCACTGGGTTTCGAACCCAGGAAGTTAGAATTCATGAGCCAACCACTGAATCGGGTCCCAGTGGCTCAATGGTCTACAAGTTTGCCCATGTAACCGGCAAGTCATGAGTTCCATCTCTGGCAGTGGGTGACTACTGGCGATGATTCCCAAACTAGTGGGATGAAACAGCAGCTGTCCAGTACTCCACTGATTGGTTTCTCAATGGCTCTCTAACTGTCTGTCTGCCTGGATTCAACATAGAACTTGGCACCGAAGTGCAGCAGTCCCAGTTGCCACGTTCCAAATAGTACACAAAGGTAGACAAGAAAATGAGTGAAGAGAATCAATAGAGTTTTGACAAGTATAAGAGTGAAACAGAATGAGTAATGGTAGAAAGGAATATGAAAGATTGCAGAGACTGAATACATCTGCGTAAGCCATTGACAACGATTTTGAGCCATGTCACCTATTGTTTCCAGCGCTCATTGATTCTTAGAGTCCCGAGGGCGGGCCCCAACCCGGAAGTCTGCTTCTCCCTACCTGATTCAGTTTAACTGTCAAGGATTTCATGGATTGATGAGGCCATGTTTCTGTTTGGCCACCACTTACTCTTTTCCAACCTGCACCTATATCAGCTAGTAATGCCCGTCCGTTGGGGGAGGCGATGGTTAGGCATGTGCAGCACGTGACCTAGTCATCTCAATCTGTGTAACTTTATAGCCTCTTCGATTGATTTTCCATCTTCGCCCAGCACTCAACGTCTAACGTCAACATTACTTACCTTATTATACCACCTAACGTGAGAAAGAGATCGTAGACATCTATGATCAAAAACAGTCAACCTTTTCATGTCTTAAACTCGTATTGGCCATGTTTCAGAGTCATAGAGAAGGACGGAGCGAACTGCTGAGCAGTACACACGTCCCTTGGTTGATAGTCGGATGTCACGCCTACACCAGAGATGGCGTAAGTTAGCGAAAGCTCTCTAACTGATATAAATCCATGGTCAAACTTGTAAAAATAAAACAAAAGTATCCCCTATTTCTTTCTAAAAGAAAAGATTTTTTTTATTTATATCCTTTCAGCATTTTCATCTAGTCTTGAATTTGTTCAAATTCAACAAAATTGTCAAGTCAAAATCACAATAAAGCCAATGGTCGACGGCACCAGCACCTTGACGTGTTGACAGGTGTGTACAGCAGCACTTATTGTTATTATTATTATCATTATTATGTAGTAGTAGTAGTGCAATGATTTCTTTCATCCCTTGAAAACGAAAAGCTCCAGCCAACAGGATCTTCGTTGATGTTACTTTGTACTTCCTTCTAGTTAATGTGTGAATAATTTCCTCAGTTATTTATTTATTTAATTATTTTCTTGTCTTAACATAAATGTGATTTCATCATTAATATCACCAGCTATGTTTGTATACACAATTTTCTTTATATAAAATGAGTTACAATTGTATACTTAATAATATATACTTTTTAGTCAAATAGATATTTGTCCCATGTTGTATTTTGAAATACCCCCCGCTCCTGCCCCCAAATTATTACTCTTTACTTGTTGATAAGCATTTCAAGTGCTCTATAGCAAACCTTACGTGTTTTAATTTGTTGTATTTATTTGTAATGAATATATAAACTTCATAACTGGTGTCTCCATTTCGCTTTAACTTTGCCATCGATGACATTCTGGAGTCAGCTGTGAAGGTGGTGTAGATCTCGAGTATGCAGACGATATCGTCTTACTGTGCGATAGTATGCAGGCTGTTCAAATCGCACTTAATCAGTTGGTGATTAGTGTCTGTAAGTATAGTATGTGTTTTGCGTCGTCTGAGGTTGGCAGGGAGGAGCCTGTACCTGCACTCACTCTTGCTTGCAGGTAGGTGAACCACTTCAAGTTGTTGATAAGTTTGTGTATCTGGGTGTTTGTGTGACTGATGGGGGGGAGGGGTGACAGATGAGATTTCCAACCGTATCACACGAAGGCTAGGGTGGTGGCATACATCAACTTAAGCCACATCTGGCGCCGTCACGGTGTTAGCCTGGCTGTCAAAGGTAGGGTATACAATGCTTTGGTGCTGGCTACACCTGTGAAACCTGGTCTTTTCGAGCTGAAGATGTGCGCCGGCTCTGCGTATTCGATCATCGCTGTCCCTGAAGGATTGCTTGCGTTCGATGGCATCATCGTGTGAGTAATTCTGAGGTTTGGCGGCGTATGTTTGAACACAGTGGAGATCATTATTTGTTGAGTGTCGTCATCTGGAAACACCGGCTTCGGTGGCTTGGACATGTGCTGCAAGTGTTATCCCAGAGGCTTCCGTACAGGACTCTGTACGCTAGCTCTGGGACGAGATGGAAAAGGAGGAGAGGTGGTCAGTCCATGACGTGGCGTCGTGGGATGAAGGATATTTGTGTTAGATTGGCATCGGTTGGTGCGTCACAACTCCCTTGGTTGGGTTCCCTTGCTAATGATAGTTAACGAATACTGTTTGGACTTGTTGAACATGACTTTTCCTTCCAGATGAAGTTCTTTATTCGTTCTCTACGTATATTTTTATTTCTAATCTATGTTGTTTTATTATAATTGCGTAACGCATCTTCTTGGTGACATATTGTACCAAGTTTTTCTGCGTTTAAACAAATAAATAGAATGTACTGGTGTTATTCTTATTCCCTTTCGGTTGCAAATGGAACATCAAGCTTCACAGCAGCATCACATCGCCATTTCAATGTGTTCTATGCAGTCGTCTGGAATAGCTGGCTTGACGATTGCTAACAGACTGTCATTTCCTCCTGACACGATGATCTCCGACATGTGTCACTCTTGGATCCAGGAACAACTCAGCTGGCGCGTGGTCTCCTCAGCAAAGATCATAATTCATCTTCATCTCTTCCTGCTTACTTTTTGGGCAATAGATTGTTGGTTGATTCCTTGACTACCAGGATTCCTTGTCACTTTATCCTCTCTGGTCTGCCATCTGATCTCTGGTTTTGGAGAACGAATTGAGCATCTGCTGATGGAAGTCTGTAGGAAATGTTTTTTGTGAAACGCCTAGTCTTTGAAGTATAATGCAGCACTGACCCAGCTCGATTGCCGAATGATGGAGGACTGTCTGTTATAGTATTCAATATATTATTTTTTTGTTGATGAACGAGCAGGGGAACTGTGACATTTTCATGGTGTGTAACTTGCTCATACACACATATAGAAACTAATACTTAGGAGGCAACACCTCTATTTATGTCAACGCTGGTTGCTCTTATACAACAACCAATAAACTGGTAGCGAAGATAAGATTGCAAATGAACTTTGGGAAAACGAAGGTGATGAAGATAACCAAAGAACCGCAATAACATCCAGTACCAATCACCACCAGCGGGAAAGAATTTGCAGAGGTTAGTTCCTGGCCTCACTTATCTAGGAAGCATCGTTTCAACTACAGGCCAGCAGAACGGATGAAGATGTTAAACCCACTTACTTAGCCATGATCGGAAAGGCAAGACACGCCATCATCAACCTGAAACCGGTTAGGAAATCTTTTGCTGTCACTCAGCCAACACAAATAACTCGATTCCGATTTCAACACAAATGTGGCAGGGGATCCCAACGTCTGCCATAATTTCTTTGATATTATTGTAATATCGGATGCTGTGTCGATTTTGTAGGCGTGCCGGCCGTGTATTAATCGTTCAGTCTTCTTTCTTTGTCTTGCGTGCCCGGCGGTATTGTTGTTGACGTGCGATTAGGACAGATTAGCCGGCGCAGTTCTTCTCTGCGGGTAAGAAACTTGCAGTGCGTGTCATGAAGAGGATTTCTTTCAACAGGTTGCAGACTTTCATCGACCGCTGCCCGCTTCGCTGACTCCATACTGAAGATCAAATATCCAGCCGGCCGGGTAGGAATAATTAGCAACAAGAGACTCTGTGTGGCAACGAAGAGCCGATCACTCAACAGATATGTAGGAGAAAATGGAGATGGATCGGGCATACATTGAAGGAACCGTCGATTGGTACCGCGCGCAATGCAGGTCATCGCTAAAAAAGGAATCCAAATGGGACATGACGAAGTGGGTCGTTGGTGCTGTGGTGACAAGGAGGAGATTGTGTGAGGAAGAGATGAGGGAGTTTGGTCAATCGTAGACCCAGCTGAAGAGGATGGCAGAAAATAGAATAACGTGCAGATGTGTTGTTGAAGCCGTTTGTTCCACTTGGAACCCAAGGGAACAAGAGTAATATTATAATATCATATACTTGACTGCTAAATCAATCATGTCAGTCCAGTAGCTTCACTTGGACAGTTGGCTTGTAAAATTAGTTTCTGTCTAACAAGTGAACAATGTCGAAATCTACGGTCTTATTGCTTAATTAATACATTCGTACAATTATATATAGTGCGTCGGTGGCATAGCGGTTAGGACGCTCGCCAACCATGCACATGGTCCTGGGTTCGATCCCCGGCCGACGCACTCCTTTGCCTCGCTAAACCAGAAATAAAGCTGGTAAAGAGGAAAGGTTGGGCATGAGGCTAGCAACCCCATCCTGTAAAAATAAACACTGCTTCAGAAACTTCAAGCCCCCTGCTTGAAGCCGCCCTATGTTCCACTGGGAACGCGAAGGAATAGAAAGCTTTTATATACACATAATATTCTAGGATAGACGTCATTAGCAATATTGGTGTCTTTAAATACTACCGATCTGTTAAGTAAGATCAATGGAATTACCACAGTCCAAGAAGCATAAAAATGTAATAGCAAATAGAATATTAAATAAAATTAAGGAAATTTCCACAAAAATTGAGGATCATTAAAACCTTGAGGTCAAGGTTTGAATTATTGATGTAGCATGTGCCGACGAAATGATTATCGCGAAAACCAACGCTGCATTTTATTTCTCCATTCAATCGAAGTCTTCCACCACATGCACTAAATGCTATCTGATTTGTCTTCTCTATGGCAGGGGATCCCAACTTCTGCCATAATTTCTTTGATATTATTGTAATATCGGATGCTGTGTCGATTTTGTAGGCGTGCCGGCCGTGTATTAATCGTTCAGTCTTCTTTCTTTGTCTTGCGTGCCGGCGGTATTGTTGTTGTTGTTATTGACGTGCGATTGGGACAGATTAGCCAACGCACTAAGTTAGATTCGCTCGCAGTCTACAAGGTCATAATATTCAAACATAACAAACAGCCTCAGCTATATGCAGTAGACGAACTCTTAAGGTAAAGTTAAGATTAGTTGGTATGTGGTAGATGACTCTGGAAGCTAGGTTAACATGAATCTTGTGTTCTGTATTGAAGAGATAAGAAAGAATAGAATGGCGAAGTTAAAGTATCATAGGCAAAGTCAAGGTCTGTCAAAAGTTGACTTTCGAGAACCAATCAGATATTGGGAATGCATCTATCCAACATGGTATGATTTCTCTAAAGATCACCTCTGTGGTGATTTGGAGACATTCTTACAACACGTAAGGGACAACTATATAGTGTAATATCGTGTTTGCAATGTTTTTCAGTGCATTTTCCAACGATTATGCGACTTTCTTGCATTTGAATTCTAATTGGTTGTTCCAGGTCACTGTTGTTTTTAGTTATGATAGTTTAACTTTGCCAATAGAAATATAAATGGACTTTGTTTGTCCTTTTGCTTAACAACGCAGGATGGTGTTCAGAAATCCTACGATAAACACACCTAGTTGTACGGCCTATGTAACTAGCTCCACACAGGAGCAGTCAAATTGGTAGATACAAATAGAAGATCGGGTCCCAGTGGCTCAATGGTCCACGAGCTCACCTTGTAACCAGAAGGTCCTGGGTTCGAACCCTAACGGTGGGTGGATACTGCCGAAGAGTCCCAAGCTAGGACGAAACAGCTGTCAAGTAGTCCCAGTGGTTCTCTAACTGATGTCAGCTCATGATGAAATCCTCCATCCAAACAAACAGAAGAGGTGAAATTGGGCAGTTTTTCTTTAACTTCCGGAAGCAAAATAGAAGTAGTTTTTAAGACACAGCATAATTGAGCAGGATGGACTTCTCTTTTTACCATATTCCTTAAGTGTTGTGGTTTAATATCTCACAGATTTTATCTCCAAGGAACTGAAGTTGTAAGAATAAAGCCTTTTCCGGTACTATTGGTACTTTGGGGCTGTCTTGATTATTGATTCATATGCATATCGATGAAATTTTCTGGGTAACTGTTCCCATTCAGTAACTCATTGATCAAAAAATAAATAGTTACTTCTAACTTATCCTGTTATTCAGTTCAAACATTTAACGATTCAACTACAGACGATACATTCATCATACTAGTTTAGTTGATGACATCCAAAAGAAACGAGTTAAGTTAGAATAGTTCCCTAAAAGGTATTTACAAAGTCTGAGAACATCTCATGCGGAATAGGAAGGGAAGTGATAGAACATGTTGACCACTTCACCTATTTGGGAAGTTGTATCAGCACCGACGGATTGATTGGTGACGAAATCTCAGCACGAATCCAAAATGCTCGAGCTGCTTTCGCTAACTTACACCATCTCTGGCGTAGGCGTGACATCCGGCTATCAACCAAGGGACGTGTGTGCTGCTCAGCAGTTCGCTCCGTCCTTCTCTATGCCTCTGAAACATGGCCAATACAAGTTGAAGACATGAAAAGGTTGACTGTTTTTGATCATAGATGCTTACGATCTCTTTCTCACGTTAGGTGGCATAATAAGGTAAGTAATGTTGACGTTAGGTTTAGTGTTGGGCAAAGAGGGAAAATCAATCGAAGAGGCTATGAAGTTACATAGATTGAGATGGCTAGGTCACGTGCTGCGCATGCCTAACCATCGCCTCCCCCGACGGACAGGCATTACTAGCTGATATAGGTGCAGGTTGGAAAAGAGTAAGTGGTGGCCAAACAAAAACATGGCCTCATCAATCCATGAAATCCTTGACAGTTAAACTGAGTCAGGTAGGGAGATGCAGACTTCCGGGTTGGGGCCCGCCCTTGGGACTCTAAGAATCAATGGCTGGAGACAATAGGTAACATGGCTGAAAATCGTTGTCAATGGCTTACGCAGATGTATTCAGTCTCTTGGGTAATCTTTCAAATTCCTTTCTACCATTACTCATTCTGTTTCACTCTTATACTTGTCAAAACTCTATTGATTCTCTTCACTCATCTTCTCCTTGTCTACCTTTGTGTGCTATTTGGAACGTGGCAACTCGAACTGCTGCACTTCGGTGCGAAGTTCTATGTTGAATCCAGCCAGCCAGCCACGTGGAAGTAACTGCCCGTATACTTCGCTTAACTCACACTGACAAAATTATTGTAACCATTTTGTTACAAAACCAAAATGAATGTTGACATAGGGCTTTAAGCTTCAGTAACACGGTGGTCCTGTTTTTTACGGTCTGCCTTAGCTAACCTCGCGACCAACTTTCACTCTTTAACGTCAGCTAAGTGGGGGGTTTAATGGTTCGTCGACTGCGAAACAAATCCTCAACCACGTTCCTGATTGACAAGCCTTCTGCTATTGAACCACCAAAGCAACATTTAGTATAATAGCTGCAAAAGATATCAACATGTATGGAGGATAACAACGGTAGAATGCTCGCCAACCACGCTCACGTGGTTTGGAGTTCGACCCCCGGCCACTGACGCACTCCTTTACCTTGCTAAAGAGGGAAGTTTAGGGGGGGAGGGGCATGAGGCTAGCAACCAAGTCATATGATAAATCTGTGAAAATGAAACCTGGTGGAGTCCAAATGACCGTCAGGTTGACAAATTAGTAGTAGCTGTCGATATCTAAGTTTTTCGACATCATTGCAAAAAAGTACTTTGTCTCAGCAATCACATTATCTATCATTATTATTGTAACTTATGTATTCTTACTTTCCACACTTACTAAGACTTTCCAATCGACGATTCTTGCTACTTCATTTCTGGGACATAAAATAACCCCGGTGAGTGCGTCTGACTGACTGGTTTCACCATAGAACTTTGCACAGATGTAGAGTACTCCGAGTTACCACACACCATGTAGAATACAAAGCAAGAGAACAGGGACATAATGAACTGAAGTGTGATTGGGATGAAAAAAGAATAGTAATATGGATGAACCATATAGTTTTATTGGAAATCATAAGTCACAAGGAGTGGATGCATCTGCGCCAGCCATTGACAATGACGATTTTGAGCCATATCACCAATTGTGTCCAGCCTACACTGGCTTTCAACATCCTGACGAACCCAACCAGTCAGGAAGTCTACACCTCCCTCCCTATGTGACTGGCCGGCTTAAAGTAACTGTTGTGGATTTCATTGACTGGTGAATCCATGTTTTGGTTTGACCGCCGCTAGCTCTTTTATAGCCTGACCTTATGTCAGCTAACATTGCCCGTTAGTCGACGAAGGCGATGGCCAGGGATGCGTGCGTGAAACATGTTCTATCCATCTCAGTCGATGTAGCTTCACAGCCTCGTCGATTGATTTCTCCTCCTTACCTGGCACTCCACCGATGCCTAACCTCAATATTATCCACCTTATTATACCATTTAACACGGGAAATAGAACACAGGCACCTATGACCAAAGACAGATAGCTGGCCTTTGCAGGTCTTCCGCTTTCAATGATCACGTCTCACTCACAGCCATAAGGGAGGATAGAACGAACTGCTGAGTGGTACACACGCCCTTCACATCTGGGTCAGAGATGGAGTAAGTTGGCCTATGCTAAACGAGCCTTCTCTATACGTGCTGAGATTCCGTCGACGATCGACCCGCTAGCGTTAGCTGATGCAACTTCCTAAATAATAAGTGAAGTGGTCAACACGCCCCACTAGCCACTTCACTCCTGTATATCTTTAAGCTAGGAGGGAGTCGATGTAGTCCAGTCCTGTAGCCTCATCATCTCACATTTGACGGATGGGTGCGTACTGCTAAGAGGAGTCCCAAACTACGGTGGAACAGCTGTCCAGTACTCCCTAGTTGGTTCTCCAACTGATGTTAACTTATGATGAAATCTGTTTACAAACACATTTATGTAAAGTGTCGTCAATAGCCCGATATTTCATAAATGAAGACTAAAGAATAATACGAAGTAATTACAATTATATTTTTCATGAATGAGTTATATTGATATACAAGAAATAAGCAGTTTATAACAATCTATGTACACAAAAAACACTGATGCATAAAATTTGAATTCAGCTTATTCGTCTTCCCATTGTTGACCACAACTGGACTTTAACATTTTTCCTCTCCTCCTTCATCATCTTCATCATCATGTTCGTCATTTGATTCAGAATCGTCTCCTGGTGGTGTACAATCGTCATTTCCACCATAATCGCTATCTTCACTCTGCACACATAGGTAAAAAGTTAAACCAAAAGATAGAAATTTTAGCAGTCATTTAAGAATATAGAAAGGTAACTCCGAACAGCTTTGACTAGAAAATATCTCACGGTGACAAGCTGTTTTGAAAAACCAGACTTCTTAATTATCGTTATAATCATATAACATCCTGTATTACCCAGTCAAACTCTGATGGTAACTGACTGACTGATTTCAACATAGGACTTTGCACCGATGTGCAGCAGTTCAAGTCACCACACTCCCTCCATGTAACACAAAGCAAAAGAAGAAGAAAGTAAAAAGAAATGCAAAATAGAGATAATAAACAGGGATATGAGACAAAAGGGATAGTAATAAAGAAGAACAATATAGTTTCATTGGATATTATAAGTCACACAAGGAGTGGATGAATCTGCACCAGCCATTGACAACGATTTTGAGCCATATTACCAATTGTCCTCAGCTTTCAGTGGTTTTTACCCTCCCGAGGACCCCAACCAGGAAGTCTTCAACTCCCGACGTGGCTTAAACTAAATGTTGTGAATTTCATTGACTGGTGCCATGTTTTGGTTTGACCGCCGCTACCTCTTTTGTAGTCTGACCTTATGTCAGCTAACATTGCCCGTTAGTCAACGAAGGCGATGGCTAGGCATACGTAACACATGTCCTAAACATCTCAGTCGATGCAACTTCATAACCTCGTCTATTGATTTCCCCTCCCACCTACCTAGCACTCGACCGATGCCTAACCTCAATATTGCTCACCCTGTTATACCATCTGACACGGGAGATAGAACTCAGGTACCTATGATCAAAAACAGCTAGCTGGCATTTAAATGTCTTTCGCTCTCAATGACCAGGTCTCACAGCCATAAACGAGGACGGGGCGGACTGCTGAGCAGTACACACGTCCTTTGGTCGATAGCCAGCCGGATATCACGTCTACTAAGCCAGAGACGGTGTAAACTGGCATGTGCGAAACCAGCCTTCTGTATCCGTGCTGAGATTTCGTCAGAGATCAACCCGTTGGCGTTGGCTGATACAACTTCCCAAATAAGTGAAGTGGTCAACGTGCCCTACCACTTTCCTCCCTATTTCTAAACTAGGAGTCAGTGTAGTCCAGTCATCTATAGCAGCTAACACTACCCGTCATCGAGGAAAGCGATGACTATGCATGCGAAGTACACGTATATCCTAACCATCTTAACTAACGTAGCTTCACAACCTCATCGATCGACTAACCCTCCTTATTTAACACTCCAACATCTAACCTCAATATTACTTACCATATGATAAAACTTAACACGAGAGATAAAGCGCAAATACCTGCGGTCAAAGACAACTAGTCTTTTTTCATATCTTCTACTTCACAATTGCCAGGTCTCAACATCTATAAAGGAGGACAGGTTAATAAACTGCTGTGCAGTACGCACCACCTCCTTTTAACTATAGCCGACTATTGTGTCTACGCTAGATATAACATAAGTTGGTAAATATCACACGAGGCTTTTCCACGCGTACTGAGACTTCGTCAGTAACTAACTGGTCAATTAGAGATGACGCAACATATTTAGACATTCCCTGCTGTATCTTTAAACTACGTGTCGGTTCAGATCAGTCCTAAAGCATAATTCCATGTCAGATAAGTTTATTTTAAATATCAGATAGCGATGATGCAGTGTATTAACAACTGGATGACAAGGTTTCAAGCACAAATTACTCCCGCTCATAATCATATCAATTTAGTCACATGGCTACACAATTTTTCTTATGTTTATATTTTTCCTCTTCCTTTGCCTCAAACTTCCCCTTGTTGTTTGTTACTACTTTCCATATCTCCGGTATAGGCGGCGTTGCGCGTCATTTTGATTTCACGTGTGTGTGGTGTTGAATCGATAAACAATAAAGCTTCAGTGATTGACCTCTCTCTCTTTGCCTCTTCACCTAACTATATTACTTTCTAATACTCTCACCCTGTCCCACACAACCTATTTTGTGGTAACATGCAAGTGAATGCAGTGGAATGGCTGAGGTCTGTTTTTGTTTGTTCTAGATTATTTAACTTAATTAGCAGGGTCAATCACCATTCTGGATAATTTTCTTATGTTTCAATAATCTAGTTGACCCTGATCTACTAGTTTTGTAACAGCAGAAGATAAGACACACACAGAAGCCAAGGTATTTTTTCTTTAAGTGATCAAACCGCTATTTATATCTATGGTTGTCAACCAATCACCACTGAGCGTATGATTTCGGTTTTCATTAAACGACATGAAACACAATGTTCAAATACATATATATGTAGTAGTATTCCGTTGCCAATGCAGTATTGAACTGTGGGAATAGTATTCTGACTCTAGTAACAAACAGGATTCCATCATGGGTAAATTTTGTTTTGATAAAGTCTCACAGTAATATACAGTAATTAATGTTTACTGATGACGTTTCGAGCACAATTTATTACTGTTCATAATCATATCAAGGTAATCACACGACTTCCTAAATTCATTTATATAGTTCCGTTCTTTTTCACTTGATTTGATTGGTAGTAGTATTTTCCATATTTCGGGTATGATTGATGAATCACTCCTATTGCATGTGTTGGGTGTAGACTCGATGAACAAAGATTCAGTAATCAACCTCTCTCGCGCTCCACCTACCTAGATTACCTTTTAGAATTTTAACCCTCTCCCACCACCCTATTGTGTGGTTGTGTGTTAATGCATGCATTGCAATTGCTGAGCTTTTTTCTAAATTACTTATCTTCTCTGGTGGCGTCAACCATTCTTACCTTAGCCACTAAATTCTTATGTTCTGACAATCTGACTACCCCCGACCTACTAGTTTGACCTATGTAGTTGACCTCCCTCACAGTCATTGCAGGGTATTTTGTAAATTATATTACTTTGTCTAATTGGGTCAACCAACTGGGTCCTTTAACCTACAGAGCTTGTCCCTGAGTGAGTTTGTAGGTTTGAATGCCACCCTAATTCCTGCCTTATTGAGAATCCTACGTAGGGTCTCAGATGTCCCCTCTTTATATGGTATAACTGTAGATGACTTATATATTCTCTCTTATTTATGTTATTATCATTAGTTTCAGAATTCTTTTTATTTTTCTTTTGGCCTTTTCTGGTCTTCCTGATGAATTTTATAGGATAGTTAGTTATTTAACACCAACGCCTCTTCTTCTATCTGTTTTATTTCATCATTTAGGTCTTTTTTTGTGCTACTTAGTGTCTGCCTTAACAGTTAACGGATGAGATGAATTAAAGTCTAAATATCTATTAGAATGCGTTGGTTTTCTATAAACACTAGTGTGTAGTTTGCCTTCTTCGATTCGTTTTATTTTACAATCTAACATGGCTAATTCTCCTTGCTCATTTTCGGCTTCAAATGTGAATTTTATTCCCTCCACTAGTGAGTTTATGTGTGTCAAGAAGCTAGAGATATGTTCTGTTTTTAACACTGTGAAAGTGTCATCCACATATCTCCACCATATTTTTGGAGTAGGATTAAACGTATTAAGAGCCATATCTTCCCAGCTATCCATAAATATATCTGCTACGATAGGGGATATTGGTGATCCCATTGCTACACCTTCAGTTTGTCTATATATTTTGCCTTGGAATTTAAATATAGTAGATGTGAGGCATAACTGAATTCCTAAAATAATTTCTTCAATGTACAGCTTCGTTCTATTAGTGAGTTCAGGATCCGCAGTTACTTCTTTTTTAACTGCTTCTAAGGCCATATTGACTGGTATATTAGTATAAAGACTGGTTATATCAAAACTAACCATTGTTTCATCATTATCTAGTTGTATGTCATTTAGTTTATTTTTCATTTCATATGAATTAGTTAGTCTAGAATTTGAACGATTTCTAGCGGGACATGATATTAGAGCTAAGTGTTTTGATAATTCACATGTAGGGGTATTTCTGAAATCTACTATTGGACTTATGGGATAACCTGGTTGGTGTATTTTAATAGTACCATACATTCTACTAGCACTATTAGTTTTAGGCATTAAATTAAACCATTTAGACTCACCCAGTGACGGCTTCATTTTGCGTATTAATTCCACTGTAGATTTTTTAACCTTATTCATTACTGTATCTATAGGCTTGTTAATTTTTTCATATGGACCCATCTCAATATGTTCAGTGACTTTCTTGATATAGTCAGATAAATCCAAAACTACTGTCGAGTTTCCTTTGTCAGCTTTTGTAATGACGACGCTTTTATTTTGTTTTAGACTAATTAAAGCTAGTCTTTCCAATGTTGTTAAGTTATATTTGGACTTTAATTCGTCTCATAAATTCATCTCACATTGCTGTATAACACTGTGAGACTTTATCAAAACAAAATTTACCCATAATGGAAGTACACTCTACCACAGTGCACAAGTTTGATTCTTATATCAACAAACAGGGTGTTCAAATATGTATAGTATTCTCTTGTTAATGCAGTAATGAACTGTGAGAATATATGTGAGAATAATATTCCGTTAGAAAAAGACGCATTCTCTGTATCACACCACCACAGTTTGACCCCATGTGTAATTGACCTCACAGTCATTAGTAGTTGCATGGTATTTGGTAAATTATATTACTTTTTTTTCTTAATTGGAACTATCTATCGGGTCCTTAAACCGACAAAGTTTATCTGTGTGAGAGAGTTGATTGGTTTGCTGGTTTAAATACCAGCCTAATTCCAGCGTCATTGAGAATTCTACGTAAGGCCCCTCTGACGAGTCACTTCTTTGATATACACCAGTGCTACAAGGTCAAACTAGCAGAACAGAGTCCACTGGATTATTGGAACATGAAAAAATTTATCTAGACTTTGAATGATGATTGACCCTGCTAATTAAGTTAAATAACCTAGAACAAACAAAAACAGACCTCAGCCATTCCACTGCATTCACTTGAATGTAATCACAAAATAGGTTGTGTGACAGAGGATGAGAGTACTAAACAGTAATAATATAGTTAGGTGAAGAGACAGAGAGAGAGAGAGAGGTTAATCACTGAAGCTTTGTTGTTTATCGATTGAACACCACACACACGTGAAATCAAAATGACGCGCAACGCCGCGTATTCCGGAGATATGGAAAGTAGTAACAAACAGCAAGGGGAAGTTAGAGAGACAGAAAAAATATATAAGACAAATTATGAAGCTGTGTGCCTAAAATTGATATGATTATGGGTGACAATAATTTATGCTCTAAACCTTGTCTGTCATCCAGTTGTTAATACACTGCATCATCGCTATCTGATATTTATTTAAAATAAACTTATCTTGATAGGGAATTAAATTCTATACCACAGTGTACAAGTTCTACACTTATATTAATGATATCTACAACATAATCTTGCATTGAACTAGAGACGAATCACATGCAAGACACACCAAGATTTCTGTTCAAAGTGTTTAGAAGACTGCACTTTGTCAGCGCATATATAGATCACCTTGCATGTTACCTATTACAAGATCCCTTATAGATATAGAGGTAATATAAATCACAGTAACTAGTTGACTATCCACACACCCCGCCTAACACCTCACCCCCTCGAAACTTTCAATTACACTAAAGTCCCGCGTTGTCTAATGGTTAGGATTCCTGGCTCTCACCTAGGCGGCCCGGGTTCGATTTCCGGCGCGAGAGCGCTTTAGTGCGTCGGTGGCACAGCGGTTAGGATGCTCGCCGACCATGCACATGGTCCGGGGTTCGATTCCCGGCCACCGATACACTCCTTTACCTCGCTAAGCCAGAAATAATGCTGGTGAAGAGGAAAGGTTGGGCATGAGGCTAGCAACCCCATCCTGTAAAATGAACACTGCTACAGGAACTTCAAGCCACTAGCTTGAAGCCGTATGTTCCACTGGGGAAAGTAAAGGATAAAAAAAATATTCTCTTCAACTGTCTGAATTAAGGTATTTATGATATAAGAGAAAATAATAATATTAATAAAGATTACACCACCGACACATAAAAGAAAGCTCCACTTACATCATAATCTTCATACTTTGATTCATTCGGATCATAATTTGAACTAGTCAAGCCGACACGTTCTGTTTTCAGCTGACGACTATCAAAATTTATAACATTAGAACTAATATTACTAGTAGTATTATTAGTAGTACTACTAGAAGTAGTCGTGAGTGGTGGTAGGGGACTCTTTAATACACTAGACAGTGTTCCAATTAATCCTTTGCCTTTCAATATACTACTGATATTGTTGTTGGTGTTATTATTACTACTAGTAATAGTAGTAGTAGTATTGGCAGCAGTTTCATTTTGAGCTGTTGGCGTTGTATTTTCATTGTTGTTCAGGCGTTGTCGAAATTTCTTCTCAGCATTAATGCTTTCTGCCTCTGCGGTAGTATCATAATGCATATAGTCATCATCGTCAGAATCATTTGACCGGCGCCTCTAGAAGGGTTAAGTAAGCAAAGAGGGAGAGAGAGTGTGTGTGTGTGTGTGTAGCAATGACAACTAACAAGAATTTTTTTAAAAAGCAATAGAAATGTTTTGAAAGAATCCAAAAACCCAGTCAAGATAAAATCTGTTTTCACTTATTGCTTTTTTTGAAACTGTGATAGTCGATCTTAGAACAAACGAAGATGACACTGAATGTTATTCAGTTACCACTGGACAGCCTAGTTTGGAACTCTTCAGTAGTACGTACCCACCAGCAGGGTTCGTAGTCATGAACTTCTGGTTCCTTTGAATAAAGCAAGAACAACAGTGGTTTGTGCAGAATAATAAGATAGTACCATCATTGTTTATTTCGTAGGCTTCTCATCAGCTGTTTACAGCCTAAATAAATTATGAGGTTTGCGTACAGAAAAGTTTTAACATACTTGCAAATTTTTACATGTTGTCAGTTGACAAAAAGTTCCACAGTGAGTGAACAGTGCTCAGAAAATTGCGCTTATATAGTTTTTACACAGGCAGTTCAAGTTTAAACAAAATAGATGTATGCATACAATGGTAAAAGAGTTACGTAATAAAGACAAAATATGAGTTAGATACAGAGTGACTAATAAATTAGGTAACAATGTACTGAGTTCAACTCAAATCATAGAAACAAGAGACAAGCAAAATTACAGATTATAAAAGGGGGTGAGGTTAAAGACAAAGATTACACAATCAGATGAGAGAATAAAGACATTACGTAATCTTTGTCTTTAACCTCACCCCCTTATATATTCTGTAATTTTGCTTGTCTCTTGTTTCTATGATTTGAGTTGAACTCAGTACATTGTTACCTAATTTATTAGTCACTCTGTATCTAACTCATATTTTGTCTTTATTACGTAACTCTTTTACCATTGTATGCATACATCTATTTTGTTTAAACTTGAACTGCCTGTGTAAAAACTATATAAGCGCAATTTTCTGAGCACTGTTCACTCACTGTGGAACTTTTTGTCAACTGACAACATGTAAAAATTTGCAAGTATGTTAAAACTTTCCTGTACGCAAACCTCATAATTTATTTAGGCTGTAAGCAGCTGATGAGAGGCCTACGAAATAAACAATGATGGTACTATCTTATTATTCTGCACAAACCACTGTTGTTCTTGCTTTATTCAAATTCATCAAGGGGAATAAATGCATGAAACTTCTGGTTACAAGGCTAGCGAGCTCATAGACAGTTCAGCCACTGGGAACCCGATCCAATGGCCAGTCGATGAATTTCAACTCGTGCCAATTGACGATATAGAGCGATTGGTACTGGATAATGTCACCTGTGGCGAGCATTTTTTTCACATACCCGACCTGCTGTAGTACCCCACTAGTCATGACTTCCCACTAGAACCCACTAGAACTATCTACGTGAATAGTGCCAGGTTGGTGGTGAGCATCAGATTAATATTCAAGTGTTGGCTTGCAGGGATTCAATTGGTTACAGGATTTCATTATGAGCTGATATCGGTGGTTAGAGAACCATAAGAAAACCTGGGAGTATGGGACAGCTGTTTCGTATCTGTTTTCCGAAGAAATTACACATTTGAAGGGTAGAATGATATGGATCAGTCTCAGTGGTTGGTTGTTTTACGAGCTCGCATTGTCCTGGGTCCGAATCCCGGTGGTGGGTATCTCTTATTGTACGCGTCAGTGGTTAGGCAGTAAAATGTTCGTCAATCACTCAGGTAATTTAGGGTTTGGTCAACGGCCAATATGCTCCTAGACCCTAGCCGGTAGTAACCATGGTTAAAAGACAGAGGGTTGGTTGTGAGGTCAACAATCACACACCGCAGAAACCAAGAACCGCTCATGCTGATTCACCCTGTAGAGGTCTAACAGCGGTGGTAAGGTATTCGTACGAGCAACATCAAAAGTAGGTCGTATTTGACTCTACATCAACACAGGTGTACCCCAGGTTCTGTAGTCAACGAACATTCATTTTCCCTCAATACAGGTACTCCAAGAAAGTCAGGGTACACCGGGTGGGCAGCCAAGAAGAAGCTCCGTCCACATACTTCCATAACTAGCACACAACATCATCTCCATTGCTTTCTTTTCACTGATTACACTATTCCGTAGACAAAATGATGAATGATGCTCGGGGAGGCTCCGTGTGCTCTTGGAAGTGTGTGGGCGGTTGATACTTTCCGGCTGCCCACACCATGGAAGTTGACTGATTCTTCGGGTACCTGAAACAGAAAGAGGGTTAGTGTTGCGTGACCACAGAGCCCATGGGGCAAATGCTTGAGGCCGGCCAGTCACACACGGGCTGTATGAACTGGTTTCTTGGTTTGGTGCAGTATTAGTAAAATTACCGCCGGTTACGGACCACCGTAGAGTAAGTCGGGATTGTTGGGGTTGACTTTTTATAACGCCGTCTCTCTCTCTCTTCCTCCAGCATGCTGGTCATCTGAGGGAGACACCTCACTGCTGTTACATCCCTGTTACCCGGCAGTACGACTTCGCCCACAGACCTCCAGCACAGTGTGAAAACAAATCGCTACACTAAGCCGGTAACTGCCTTTGGTCTAATCGCTATCCTAACAACTTTCCTGGCATGATAGGACCTGCAGGAACAATAGTTCCAGCCAGTATAGCTTGTTGGGTCATTGCAATATGCAAGCCCGACTACCACGTCAAGGTAGCAGCAATCGGTCGGGTTTTCGCAGACAGACACCTCACCTCCCAACTCTTTGATTATTGCAAGCGACTTGAGCAAGACAAACAGTGTTCCTTGTCTCTTAAAAACACACTATCTACTTTATATACTGGAGCTTTCAACCCTCTGACCTTATGTTCGATCAGACATCAGGATTTACTAAGCAAAACTTCGGTATCTTAAGCTTGAGATGTACGCTGAGTGTCCATCATGTTGTTAGAACTCATTTACACAGAACAGACTTTTTTATGTATACAAGGATATGGGACACATTTACTGTGTGACACCTGATGAAACTACCCAGTCACCCAGACTGAAGTAAGTGGTGGTGTACACAAGTCGGATTTAGACCCAATGACCGAAAATCGACTGTTTAAGCCAGTGCACCTCACCCGGTTAACAAGGTAAAATCTATCATATTCTCCTTACGGGAGTCAGGAGATTCTTTAGCTTATTGATGTGGGACTTGCTATGGTGGTGGTGTACAAATAGCATCGCGTTCTAGAGTGCAGTAGACAGTATGCTATCCGGCTGAATATATCCTTATAAGTGGGAGAGAATACTATAATACTCATCAATTGGTTTTCACTAACCAATCGACCTTAATTTGAACGATACGAAAAGGGGTGGGTAATAATAGAATCCTCAGAGTCTCATGTCGAATAACCACCTTTTACAATTCTGTGCAGATAATCATCTGTTTTTAGTCATTATTCATCTCAAGTAGAAAGAGAAATGTCTTCTTATCTGGCAGACAGCAACATCAAGTTATAAGTTATTGATGAAGTTGGTCGTTGGAGGCAGATTGCAGATCTTTTTTTTAAAAACCACTGTTATTAAACCTCTCACAACAATTAAATCCGGGTATTTGTATACCTACGATTGAATAGATTACAAAATGAGCCGTTACGGAGCATTTGTGACCACAGATTAGAACATAAAGTCTATATTTAGAAAAGGAATGTTTGTCTGTCTGTTTTCGACATAGAACTTTGCACATATGTGCGGCAGTTCAAGTCGCTACACTCCCTCCTTGTAGCACACAAAGCAAGAGAAGAAAGTAGGAGAAATGCATATTAGAGACAGTAAGTCAAGTGTTTCTTATCTTGGCATTAGTTTCTCTTCAAACCTTTGCTGGTAGTCTCATATTCTTATAGTTTCCAAAAAAGTTTTCCGTCTGACTTATTACATAAAGAAGTTGAGTCACTCAGGTATAACCCAATCTCTTCTCATGCAATTTATTAATTCATGTGTTTTGCCCATCATTCTTTATTGTTCTCCATTATTCTTCCCTGGGCTACTCAAGAAAGACCATATAATACTACGAAGAACATTGAGGGCTGTAAGTAGGGTCAGTGCTATCCCTTTGACTCAACTAACCGACACTGTTGTCAATAGGCACATGAATTCTTGTAAACACTTAGCTAAAGTTATTTTGTCTGATAGTGAACATCCTCTTTATTCACAATTGTTTCCTTGTATCTCTTCGGGTAAGACCAGAAGAAATTTCATAAACATTTATGCTCGTACTACAAAATATAAAAATTCGACCGTACCATATTTGGCACGAGTATTGTGTGAAGAGACGAATATCAGAAAAGAACTTTTACAACGTTTAAATCATTAACTAAACTATAAAATGTAATGATGCATATTATTGCATGTGTGATTTGTTATATTATTTATTTATTATTCACTATGACCTAGAAATGGTGTATTTTGTTGGGGTTTTTATTTTTCCTATTAACTATTAATATTTTTAAAATTTTATACATTTATATAATTATAAAAAGAGCTAAACCAATGCAATATGTAAAATGAAACGCTGAAAATTCCATGCTGTAAATTGTTATTGTTGTGGAATAAAGTGATTATTAATATTATTATTATTATTATTATTAAACAGAGGTGTGAGACAAAGGAATAGTAATAACGAAGAACAAAACAGTTTCATTGGAAATCATAAGTCACAAGGGGTGGATGCATCTGCCCCAGCCATTGAGAACGATCACTTTGAGCCATGTCACCAATTGTTTCCAACCATTGGTTTTTACCGTCCCGAGGACCCCAACCAGTAAGCCAGTCTACACCTTCCCACGTGGCTTAGACTAACTGTTGTAGATTTCATTGACCGTAGCCATGTTTTCGTTTGACCACCGTTAGCTCTTTTCCAGTCTGGCCCTATATCAGCTAACATTGCCCGTCGAGGAAGGCGATGACTAGGCATATGTAACACATGTCCTAACCATCTCAGTCGATGCAATTTCACAGTCTCGTCGACTGATTTCCCCGCCTTACCTAGCACTCGACTCACGCCTAACTTCAATATTGCTCACCTTATTGTACCACTTCACACGGAAGATAGAACGCAGATACCTATGATCAAAGACAGCCATGTAGGCTTTTCATGTCTTCCTCTCTCAATGGCCATGTCTCACAGCCATAAAGGAGGACGGAGCGGACAGATGAGCAGTACACACGTCCTTTGGTCGATAGCCAGCCGTATATCACGTCTACGCCAGAGACGGCGTAAACTGGCATATGCGAAACTAGCCCTCTGTATTCGTCCTGAGATTTCGTCAGAGATCAACCCACTGGTGTTGGCTGATGTAACTTCCCAAATAAGTGAAGCGGTCAACGTGCTCTTCCACTTCACTTATTATTTCTAATCTAGGGGTCGGTGTAGTCCAATCCTGCAACATCATCTTACATTTGACAGCAGGAGCGAATCACATGCCAAACATACGAAGATTGCTGCTCAAAATGTTCAGAAGACTCTGCATTTTTCCAGCGTCCTCGCCTAGAAGGACTATATCGTCTGCATATTCTAAGTCAACGAGATTATTCCCTGATAGCAAGTCAATCCCTGAGTCTCTGAAGTGAGTTAGTGATTAAGTCCACCTAAACACGTCTGAAAATGACAGTGATAGATGAAAGAAGACTGACACGCCAGCGATCCGAACATTAGCAAGGAGCGATAGCTGCTAAAATCTACACGAATATCAACAGTAGTGCGTGACAATAGGCAAAGAAATGTTGAAGACACCACCCTTCAAGTGTTTAGGATCAATAAAGAAACACGTTGTGAAAAAAAAAACTACATCTGCCCACTAGTTCATTGGGATGTCAAAAACGATACTCCAACACTAAGTGAGGTTGAAACATCTTTCACTACCTAATCGTATTAATCCAGAGATATTTAAAGACGGTGGTAGCGAATAATTGACTAGACTAACACAAAGGTATTAGTAAGTTATAAGGAATCGCAACATAATCTCAGCGGATCAATGCAGATTGTCAATTATTCCAGCCCCTGTGAGATCGGAGACAAATCTTCCCGTGATAATAATACACGGGAATTAGTTTGATTAATACAATAACTAACCTTAAAGTGCGTCGGTGGCATAGCGGTTAGGACGCTCGCCGATCATGCACATGGTCCGGGGTTCGATCCCCGGCTGACACACTCCTTTATCTCGCTAAGCCAGAAATAATGCTGGTATAGAGGAAAGGTTGGGAATGAGGCTAGCAACCCCATCCCATAAAATGAACACTACTAAAGAAACTTCAAGCCACTAGCTTGAGGCCCTATGTTCCACTGGGGAACGTGAAGGAAAAAATATACAATAACTAACCTTAAAACTGTATGTATACAGAAAAAGAAAAATAAAGTTTCGAGCTTACCTTGGAAGGATGTACATCAACTGATTCAGTTATTTGATTCAACGCTTGTTTCCGCCTTCCACGGTCTACCTGAAATCGTTTATAGGCAATGCAGATAAAATTACTGAGACAGTGTTCTGTGCTGTAGTTTCATGTAGTTTCACTTGTGTAGTATCCTCAGTCTCATTTTCAAAGGAAATATCTCCAAGCCCTGCATCCTATGAAAAGAAAAAATTAAAATAAAAGCAATCATTTATATATAAATTTCTTTTTCTAAAAACCACCTGAAAAGCACGAGTTTTCAACTTTTGTTTTATCTGATTAATTGTTTTCGTTTCAACAGCCTCAGCAATCTTTGATAAATCTGCTCCAAAACGTGAAATAGCCGTTTTAAGATCGTCGACTTCTTTCTGTGACCATTTCCCACAGGTTTTAGAATCTCCATCATTCTGTTGTGCTTGAAATTGTTTCAGGTCTATAGTAAGCTGAGCTAGACGACCAAAAGCGACGGAGGCTTGTTCAAAGATTTCTGCTACTCTTGAAAAATTCGCCATTATTCTGTAGAATATATGAAGTGAGAATCCTTTGGAAAGATTTATTGAATTGATAATTATCCAGCGACACTGATTTCTGCAGGCAGTTGGTGGATAATCAGAACCCTTGAACCAGTTGTTTTCATACAGTCATACTCTGAAAAACAAAGTATCACAGGTGAGTTGAGTGATATTAATGTTGTTCTGAAAAACGAATGATAGATTCAAAGCCTACTCTACGCCTAAAGCTTGGATGACTGGTTAGTATCACAAAAAATCCTTAATAGACATAAGAATAAAACTTGTGCACTGTGGTGGTAGGGTATAATTCCATTATGGGTAAATTTTGTTTTGATAAAGTCTCACAGTGTTATACAGTATCTGTTTTAAAACAGATAGAAGAGGCGTTGATGTTAAATAACTAACTACCCTATAAAATTCATTAGGAAGACTGAAAAAGTCCAAAAACAAAATAAAAATAATGAGGAAACTAATAATGATAACAAAAAGATGAGAGAATATGCGGCATCTAAAATTATACCATATAAGAAGGGGGCATCTGAGATCCTCCGTAGGATTCTCAATAAAGTAGGAATTAGGGTGGTGGCATTCAAACCTACAAACTCACTCAGGCAGCGACAAGCTCTGTAGGTTAAAGGACCCTGTCGGTTGACCCAATTAGACAAAATAATATAATTTACAAAATACCTTGCAATGACTGTGAGGGAGGTCAACTACATAGGTCAAACTAGTAGGTCAGGGGTAGTCAGATTGTCAGAACATAAGAATTTAGCTAAGGTAAGAATGGTTGGTCCCACCAGAGAAGATAAGTAATTTAGAAAAAAGCTCAGCAATTGCAATGCATGCATTAACACACAACCACACAATAGGGTGGTGGGAGAGGGTTAAAATTCTAAAAAGTAATCTAGGTAGGTGGAGCGCGAGAGAGGTTGATTACTGAATCTTTGTTCATCGAGTCTACACCCAACACATGCAATAGGAATGATTCATCACTCATACCGGAAATATGGAAAATATTACTACCAATCAAATCAAGTGAAAAACAACGGAATTATATAAGTGAATATAAGAAGTTGTGTGAGTACCTTGATATGATTATGAGCAGTAATAAATTGTGTTCGAAACGTCATCTGTAAACATTACTGTATAACACTGTGAGACTTTATCCTTAATAGACAGTCTCATTTATAATATCTGAGATGAATTACACATCCTGTGTTAAGACATTAAGTCCATTAGTGACAATAAATTTCCCAACCGGATGGACGCCAATGGTCACAACTTCTCTGCAGAACTCAAAGCAAGTTCGTCCTGTAGTCGTCAGTCACTAGCAAGCATCAGAATAATTTTCTACTTAAGTTTGACCATGGATTGATATGAGTTAGAAAACCACTGAGAACCAAGGAGTACGGAACAGCAGCCGTTTGTTCCCATTTTACGAGTCGTCACTGGTAGTACGCACCCACTGGGTTTCGACACAGAGAACCTCCAATGGTTAAAGGACGAAGTTGACTCTAAAGTTCAAGTGAGAAGTCATGACAAGTGAGGTTTACCTGGTTGGGAGTGTGAGGACAAATACTCGCCACGGATGACATTATTGGCTGGTGGTGCCAGTCGTGCTAGAATCACGAGTTGGTAGAAGTTTGAGTCTATGGGCGATTGTATCGCGTCCGAATGGCTGAATGGTATACACAAGCTGGCCATGTAACTGGAAGGTCCTAGGTTCAAACTCCAGTGGGTGAGTACTGCCGGTGATTCACAAACTAAAACGAAACGGCGCTATCCAGTACCTCTTGGTTGTCAACGATTCTCTAACTGTTATCGATCCGTGGTCAAACTTGAAACACATCAAATCCCTACAGGCTACTAGCTCTTGAAAATTTAAACTGCAGACATTTATCTCACATTCTACACATCATCATCATCATCATAATCACAAGCATTTTTCAACAGAACCTCTTGAATACGAATGTAATATTCTCTGTGATAACTACATTAACCATGAAATTGATGTTCTAGGACGGATTAAAAAGGTAAATTCTGTGAATAGTACGACTGCACTAGAGAGCCTAAGAAGTTCAAAACACTCTATCTACTGGTATATAATTGCGAACAAATGTCCACACTTACAGGCGGCCAATGTTGAACTCACCACCTTCGTACAAACATTAAACTATTAATTGTCAAGTATGGAATTTAGAACAACACATTTAAGCGAACAATATCGTTTTCAATTAGATCTCATCAGGCTTAACTCTAATATACCTACATACCTTTACAAATAAACATTCAAATATAAACCAATCATGGTGTTTTGTCTAATGGATAATAAGATGGTGAATATAAATTGTGCAATTAACAATAATAATAATAATGGTTTCATCAATAATAAGGATGAAAAAGTGAGGCAATCTGTGATAACACGAATAACGAAAAACAGCATGATTAAACAAACAAATGTTCAGGTAGACATATTAGTCGATAAAGGCTAAGAAAAACAAATGAACCGACTAAGTAATGCTAGATTGTAAGGGAAGTAAATGAAACACGTTTTTAATGAAGATGTGATAAGATTAAGGGATGATAAGAGAGGGGTTGAAAATATAAGCAAGGTGTGGTGGAGAAGTCATCACTTGGTTATGTCTTAATAGGCCAACAAGGGAGGGATAATGGCTGCACGAATTTCTTTTGAGTGCATAGTTCAGGTTTAATAGTTCGAATGCCTATCGCCTCAGTTATATGTGTAGTAGACGAATTCAAAGTCTATTGAGAAAGATTCGGTGGGATACAATGAATTACTTTGAAAGGTCTCGTCGTCTTCTCCACTACATGACCACTATCAACTAAATGTGACAAAATTGAGCTACAGATTGTTTTTGTCTGTCCTTTGGCAAACCACCACGATGGGAGATGTTCACGGCTTTCTACAACTATTCAGTTTAAGTAAGCAGTAATCCATTAATTACTCGTGTAAGCTACTCCTTTTCAACTAATATCCTGGTTTCTTGTCAAAAATCCATAACGATCCTGTCTACTTACTAGCTGAGACTAGTCAAACAACCGGACCTATTTCAAGATTATACACCTTATATGGTCGAGAATCAATCACAGTGATGAATAAGATGTACCACATGCCAAACAAGCCTACATTTCTGTTTACAATGGTTAAGAAGACTACATACATTCTGTCAGCATATTCAACTATAAGTACTATGTCATCTGTGTACTGCAAAATCAATCAGTGAAACTTTCCTAAGGTAATAATTCAATTCACAGGCAATATCTTTTCAAGTGAAAAGAGATACACGCGCACGCGAGGACTGCACAGCCAATGCTTTCCCAGCCCATTTGGCAAAGCAGTTATGAAGGCCATTATTAGCGGTCACCAAGTGGGACACTACTACTCCTTGGACAAAAAAAGGCGATTATTTCAACGAAACAGTACGTCATGTAGGTAGAGACCTTCAATCAGAGCAAAACTGAAAAAAAATATTAGGAAATTGCCCTTATAGAAGAATTAATTCACCGAAAGTCGTGTCCATATACAGGTAGTTGCACAATCTGAAAAAAGTTGTAGAAACAAAACAGTAATACAAAAGTAAAACGCTCAGATATATCCATGTAAGCCGGCCCTAAAAGGGGAGCTGAACCGGTCAGAAATGTATAATGGTTGCACCTATGGAGTCCCATGTTGACGAAATGATAACGACGGTCGTCTTTTACAGTTCTGATCAGATAATCATCTGTTTCTCGTCAGTATTAATTTATATTTCACAAACGCTTGCAGATGTTGCTGAGGGTACACAGAGAATATATTTTTTCATCGACTGTAGTAAAGTCTGTCTGTCTGTGGATTCAACATAGAACTTGGCACCGAAGTGCAGCAGTTCGAGTTGCCACGTTCCAAACAAAACACAAAGGTAGACAAGGAGAAGATGAGCGAAGAGAATCAATAGAGTTTTGACAAGTATAAGAGTGAATGAAACAGAATGAGTAATGGTAGAAAGGAATATGAAAGATTACAGAGACTGAATACATCTGCGTAAGCCATTGACAACGATTTTGAGCCATGTCACCTAGTGTCTCGAGTCATTGATTCTTAGAGTCCCGAGGGCCCCAACCCGGAAGTCTGCATCTCCCTACCTGACTCAGTTTAACTGTCAAGGATTTCATGGATTGATGAGGCCATATTTTTGTGTGGCCACTGTGCGTCGGTGGCACAATGGTTAGGACTCTCGCCGACCATGCACATGGTCCGGAGTTCGATCCCCCGCCGACGCACACCCGATATCTATGGTCGGCCTGCAAAATGTGGGCTACCGATATCCATGCTGAAAATGCCATACTTGTAATGAAAATACGGTGTGGCATCAAGCTGTAATCAAAAATAAATAAATAAATACTCTTTTCCAACCTGCACCTATATCAGCTAGTAATGCCCGTCCGTCGGGGACGGGAGGCGATGGTTAGGCATGCGCAGCACGTGACCTAGCCATCTCAATCTACGTAACTTTATAGCCTCTTCGATTGATTTTCCCTGTTTGTCCAACACTCTACGCCTAACGTCAACATTACTTACCTTATTATGCCACCTAACGTGAGAACTGTAGTAAAGTGTTCTGTTAATTTTTTTTACGTACACCATTCATGAGTTAGATGGTGTAATATGTACCTATCGAGAATACTGTAAGTCTTGTCCACTTAAAAGTATTGTTTGTGATATACCAGCTACAGCAATAGTTATTCAGATAACTGGCTTCAACTCTTACAGAGATATGATAATTACTGGGTTGCATGTTATTGTCTCTATAATCACAAGGGTTTCCTAACTTGTAGTTACGTCTTTCCATAAGATTGTATGTATTTAATATACTTGTGGCAAACAATGACTTCATGTAGAAAAGGATGCTATGAATAATATCATCACAATTACCAATTAGTATCACGCATAATTAATTAGCTTACACAGGTTGATACTATAAGAGTTCCAATATAAGTGT